TGCTTAGTTTTGATATGGTCCGAGTTTTGATATGGCCGTGAGGAAAACAGTGGGTTCTAATACCGCCCGGTCGGTATTAGAACTGCCCTACCGGCCGATTACCTACTGACCGGCCCGAATTTATACGGGCCGGCCTTATACGGTCATTATTGATACGGGCCGGGCAGCATTAATACCGACTTTTCAAACGGACCGTAACGTTAAACATACCAAGTGTTAAGTGTTCTACAAAAAGCAAGACTGTAGAGCTTTTGCGTGTATATCTTTTGCGCTGATGTTGATATTTTATTATACAGAATAATTATATTTTTAAAAACACTTTGGATTATGTGGCTGCGGATTCCGGCGAGGGGGGGGGGGCAGGGCATGTGCAATTGCAGACGTTGAAAATCCCAAGGTGTGCAAACTGCAAACACTAATTTTTGCACATCCACATTTCATTGCGGGCTCATGCGGGCTAATAAGGGCTCTCACAGGCGCTTGCTTGTCTCAGCCCGATGCTCGAGGGCCCCAGCCCGAGTCTGATGGCCCCGCACCGGAACTTTAAGTCCTAAACAGGTACAGTCCACAGCAGAAGTAATGTGTGGTTTCAGTCATGGGTATGTTCTGCTTCTGAAGCCTAGGAACGATTAGCCAGACTGCAACGAGACTTTAAATGTAGCTTACATGTATCTTCACCCTTGCAGCTACAACTTTGTCTATTGACGTCTTCTTTTCAATCAGTCTGCATTTAAAAATCGTCGGTCAAAGCCATCCGTTGAGATTGGTAAAACCACACATTACTTTAGCGGTGGGCTGTACGTGCGGGTGTTATCTTGCAGGTTATCTCAGGGCCCCATGGGCCAGTATTGAAAGGCTCTCGCCGGCTCTTAAGGGCCCCAGCCCCCTTAGGTCTCTTGGGGCCGAAGTCTTAGGGCCCCGCACCGGTACCTAAAAGCCCAGTTATCCCAGCTGGCCCCGCCAGTTTCTAAGGGCCCTCACCGGCTCTGGAGTGGTGAGGTTGACCCGGATACCATTTACTGAAATGGATAGGTCATCTGAGGTCAAATATGGTAAAAAGTAGTTTTCCACGATAGAATGGTGCTTAAAACTAGTAAATAGTGTGGTACCAAACTGTCATGACATGTCGATCGCTAGGTGCAAAAAGACCTGCTTGGGTCAAGACAAGACCTGACCTTGACGTGGGTCGAATAGTGAAAGTGACCTACCGACTACCGAGGTCTATCAAATACATATTTCGAACCATCTCGACGGAAAAAGGATGGTAGGTACAAATTTTATGTCTAACGAGTTCAAAACGATTAAGCTAAAACGGTCGGAGCTTGGGCGGGGAAGCTACCCCGCCTGCCCCCTCCCCCCCCCATCCCCGTGGCGACGATAATGATTGAAGCCCAGAGGCTTTGCCTGTAACCGTACTAAGTTGAATTATCGGGCTGCAAATGTAGGTACAGGTAATCGGTCGGCTGCCATTAACCCGCGCTGGGTTGGGGAGGGGGGACTCTACAGAGAACTCCCCTCGCTTTTCTGCAACATCTTCTAAACGACTGGGCGTATCCATGCACACGAAACTTGCAGTACCTACTACCTTGAACCTTCGGCTCCATCACTTTGACACCTCGTGTTCCAATGAAAATTTATTCGCTTCTCATAGGTCAACCGGAAATAACGTCAGAGTGACGTCATGTTCGGCCAATTTCGATGCAAAACATTCAGCTACGGTAATCGCTCCCAAGAGCTTAGTTTCTTAACTAAATCATTTTTCTTAGATGAGAGAACTCAGAATACATACGGATCTGTATGGTAAGGTGCCTAATTAGCGACCCCCTTAATTTGAACCGTCATTGCTCACACTCTATGGGTGTCATTGTACTGGCTTGATCTTCGAAAAGATCGTACATTTTGCTAGTAAAATCCATTCATTTTCTGCACCAATATCCACTAATTTATTTGCATTTTGCACTGAGCATTTTGGCAAACCATTGCAAAAACGTTAATAGGGAACTCGTCCCGATTAGCGACCACGGTGAGGGTCGCTAATAAGTCTATGGGTTTTCCCATAATAAAAATGGCAAAAAATGCGACGCCTGCAAATTTGCAATATGGTTCCAAACAGGCAACTTATGCGCAAAGCACTCAATCATTGGAACAGGAGCGTTTGTCCAACACCTTTATGAAGGTGAAAACTGATCACGTGATGCACCAAAGGCAAAAATAAGGCGAAAACCCATATATCGCGGGCTATCTCGCATGATATTCGAGGCCCGCCCTGGATTCGGCATCGGCACCCCTGCAGTCGGTGACGACAGTTGGTATCACCCGCCACACATCGCAAACTTCAGCAACACCTCATTTTAATTTCTGTCTGTTTCCTTTCTTTCCCTTTCTTGAGCTATTTGCGACCATGTTGGGCGCAAATAGGAAATATGGGTTGCGACACATTTTTGACTACCATGCAGTGCACAGTAACAAGATTCACTACGGGAAAACGGCAATCAATTGGAAAAGGATTGTCGATTTAGAATAAAAAAGGTGCATTATCTTAATGTGCATCGCTTTTCATCAGATAGGGTCCAAATGCACACGTTTTGGATAAGAAACTGGCCATTTTTATCGCAACTCCTCTAAAACGTTCCACCAGAAGCACCAACAACCGGAAAAGAATTTAGTTTGATAACCAAAGTATGGCAGACCTTTTGACATTGTTTTTACCCCGATTTATCTTCCCAGCTTTTCTGTAGGGAGGTAGGTCGCAAATAGGAAAGGGTCGCTAATTAGGCACCTTACCCTACAGTGGGGGAAGCCGGGGGAAGCCCGGCATAATAAGCTCTTTTTTATTTTTATGACATACCTTGCGTGATGTATAAAATGTTGATACCCTGTTAGCTTGATAAGTTAACTGGCCGTGTTGTCCCAAACACGGTTGCCTGGCCGTCTTGTTTATGTTTTTTTTTTAGATTTCACCTCTGTCGATCGTCCCCCCCCCCCAGTCAAAAATCCGTGGCGACGCCCCTGCCTGCAGCCTCAACGAATAACTTCTAGTAAAGTTATCCATCAAACCTAACCTCCTAACCTTTCGGTAATGCCACCAGGCGCCAACAGCTAACAGCTCTGTCCGCAATTCATTGCTTTGTTAAGTGCATCTGTACCGGCCGAGCAACGAGTTGCCACGCGGCGCGCAGCAGGCGCCAAGTGCAGCTGCACCTAGCGAGCGAAGAGCTAGCACGCGGCGCGCCGATTTGGCGCGCTTTTGGTTCCCGCGCTTTCCTGCTATTTGGCGGGAGACAGAGTGGCGGCGGCGGCGGGCGGCGGGAGCACAGAGCAGCCACCGGCAGTCGGCTCTGGTTGTTAATAAATATAAGCAGGATCCACTGTATAATACCTAGTGGCGTCATATTACCTAGTGACGTCACATCGTGAAGATGTGCCGCTAAACACGACGCATTCGCCACCTGTCAAGCGAGCCTAAAACTAATAGTTTATAACAAATATGCCAGGTGGCGCTACTGAGTCTCTTGAGTGGATCCATCTTTTCTGTATTGTTTTGGATGATACGATTCTGGATGTTGCATGCTTGGATGTTTCGCTCTTGGATGAACCGTCTTTGGATGATACGATTCTCAGATATTCTCGTGCTGCCATTTTGGATGATACGGTTTTGGATTCTGCATCCTTGGATGTTTCGCTCTTGGATGCTCTAAATGCTCCCAAAAGGGCCGATTTTGGATGTTATTTGGAGGTTTTGATCACTGGATGCTGCGGTTTTGGATGTTGCGTATTTTGGATGCTGCGCTCTTGGATGCTTTAATAGTCCCCCGCAAAAATATGTACGGTCGTCAAGTTAGATGTAAGTGAATCCTAATCTATAATCTAAGATTCGGAATCAGGTGAGCCCCTACGATTTGGACCAAACTTGGTCAGTAGATAGTACGTAACGTCCTGATTACGATGCACCCAAAATCTAAGCTCGGCCCGCCATATTTACGAAGTTACGGATGTTTGAATTTCAAGGTCATTCGGGAGAGCCCCTACGATTTCCGTCAAAATTTGTGTACGGACACTCTAGATGCTCCTCATTACGAATATCACAAAATTTAAGCTCGGCCCGCCATATTTACGAAGTTACGGAGGTTTGAATTTCAAGGTCATTTGGGTGAGCCCCTGCGATTTCCGTCAAAATTGGTATACGGACATATTACATCCTGCTCATTACAAATATCATTAAAGTTAAGCTCGACCCGCCATATTTTTAAAGTTACGGAGTCACAAAGTTACGGAATTTCAAGGTCATTCGGAGAGCCCCTCCGATTTTCGTCAAAATTTGTATGCGGACACATTACATGCTCCTCATTACGAATATCGTAAAAGCTAAGCTCGGCCCGCACTATTTCAAAGTTAGAGATGTTTGAATTTCAGTGAGTTTCAAACGTCAGTAACTTTTGAAATAGTGCGGGCCGAGCTTAGCTTTTACGATATTCGTAATGAGGAGCATGTAATGTGTCCGCATACAAATTTTGACGAAAATCGGAGGGGCTCTCCGAATGACCTTGAAATTCCGTAACTTTGTGACTCCGTAACTTGAAAAATATGGCGGGCCGAGCTTAACTTTTATGGTATTTGTAATGAGCAGGATGTAATATGTCCGTATACCAATTTTGACGGAAATCGCAGGGGCTCACCCAAATGACCTTGAAATTCAAACCTCCGTAACTTCGTAAATATGGCGGGCCGAGCTTAAATTTTGTGATATTCGTAATGAGGAGCATCTAGAGTGTCCGTACACAAATTTTGACGGAAATCGTAGGGGCTCTCCCGAATGACCTTGAAATTCAAACATCCGTAACTTCGTAAATATGGCGGGCCGAGCTTAGATTTTGGGTGCATCGTAATCAGGACGTTACGTACTATCTACTGACCAAGTTTGGTCCAAATCGTAGGGGCTCACCTGATTCCGAATCTTAGATTATAGATTAGGATTCACTTACATCTAACTTGACGACCGTAAAATATGTTGAACCTGTGCTGAATCTGTGCCAACTTCCGTTACATCTAGAGATTACACATAAGGGTTCATTCGCACGCACGTGTTATAAGTGAACACGGACGGCCTTTGCAATCACTATCATCAGCCGAGAAAGATTCTTGGCTGTCTTCCTGTAGTCCTTGGACTTCAGATATCCCACAGGTAACGGCCGATGGGCTGACACCAAGTGAATGGGTCGACCAGGGGGTAAGGGTCCTCCTGCTCAAGAAACGGGCCCTAGCATTTCGTTTAGGCACCGGAGTGCAATTTTCGAAGTGTGGACTTGAACCCATCCTACCCGTGCGCATGTCTGCAGCGTTTTGACCATTGTCTTGCCCCGAGTTGCCTCACATTTCTCGCTTAAACTTCTAGAGCACTCCCACGCAGCAGTTTTCAGCGGCAATGTTGGTGTTTCAATTTGAAGTCTTAAGAAGAAGGCCTCGCGGCACCATGAGCGTCTATCGCAAATCAAGCAATGACCTTCGGACTGTGGAGCTGGTGTTCTTACCTAGCCTTTGAGGGTGGCATATCTACCCAAACCGTTTGTTCTGGCCGTCGGCGCCTCCATGAAGGTGGATGTGTGCTTCACTGGTTGACCGGGCGTGGCCGGTGAGCGGTGCTCAGAATTGATTTGGGTTTTTATCCTCGAAGCAAAGTAAATTCTTAGCCCTTTTCTACCCTAAATAGCACCTATTGATTCCTGGCCTTGTAGGGTATGATCCCCATGTCATTATCAATAATATAATGAGACATGTTGGACCGCACCCCGCATCTTGCGCGAGCTCACAGATGGTCAGGGAAGGCATCTCGTTGACCAAATGGGTGATCTCTTTGTAGTTTAAATGACTATAAATAATTCTTTTTCTCGGACTTTCAAGGGTTCATTCGATTTCTAACGATCACTTTGGTAGTAAGTTGCATGTGCAGTAAAAAAATCGCCTTACAAGGGGTGCAGCGGAGGCATCAAAGCATGCACCGAACTGTTGTAGCACGGAAACTACGGGCATCGAATCCAAGTGCTTTTTGGCGATATTTGTTTTTCGCTCTGTGCAAGGCAAGATTTTTAATATTATAAATTAAAATGCATATGGAAGAAAACTTGAAAATGTCCTCTGTCAAATGGGCATAAATACGTGCACGTGCGTTCAAGCAATTTTTCCTACAAAGCGATTAGAATCATGACATATTTTCGCGAACACCCTGTATGCATGTGCGCCATTTCTGCATTTAGGAATGTGTGATAGCTTCAGTGAACTTATACACGGCCTTGGCTTCGGTGCACGGAACTTTATTTCAGTGGTAATAGCAAAGGATATAATCGTTCGTTGATAGTAATAATAGGTTAAGAGGTAGCAGGGGTTGTCTTCTTTAAATTCTGTACTTATTGTGGTCTGTGGATGAAATTTGGCTGATGAACTTCAGAGGTGGGAATTATACATTGTCTCAATTCCCATTATTGTATGTTTTATTCCCATTGGCGCTGCTCCAGCGGCCAGCCTCCAGTCCTGCATTTTTATTAATTTTGGAGGTCAAGGCATTATTGTCTTGTCAGTTTTTTTGTCCGGACATCGTCTGCCTCCATATCAAATCACTGCGACTATGCATTTTCCGTTGTTAGATGGCTGAAAGTGTTTATTTTTTCAACTTAACACAAACATTGTTCTTCGTTCTTACTTTGCCTTACCATTTCAAGTTATGAAGGCCACACTTCATTGATTTAAAGACTTGACACAGTTGACTTGGCTTGTAGAGCTGCAAACTTTACCTCATTGGGCTCCTTTAGAGAGTGGCCCTGAAGACATGATTAACGTTTAAGCTAATAAGTATCAGGAATATATTTTCCTAGCTGCTTGATATTTGTATTGTAATGCTTGTAATATGCATTTACTCTGCTCATGTACGCATTCTCACTCAAGTTAGTGAGTCACATTTCTTAATTCTTGGACTGGGATCAGGGATGTGACAGCAGATAGGAGACATCATCCCAGTGGCAGTCAGGGTCAAGTCTGGACTGGTACCTATTGGTTGACTTACTTGGTTTGGATAATATGGGGTAGGTGGGTGGGAAGCACGTTCCAGTTCTTAATGGCAATGGCTTCAACTGATAAATAACAGATTTATCTTGCTCCTGTGATGGTTGGCTGATAAACAGTTTCCTCTTGCTCCTAATGATGTTTGGGGATTCTGCAGCATATCCTTATATCTCTCTGTGCAATATATATGAAGTGGAGTGGAGCATAATGTTCAAGCTTAACTTGAAGTTAATTGGGCCAAGGCCTTAGCTTGGCTTGATGTAGGTGGTCTGTCTAGTATTCCTTTTATGGCCTTCCTGCTTCTCAGGAAAAGTCAGAGGAATAAGGTTGGAACACAACTTTCAAGCTTGCAAATTACATCCCAGCACCTCCCATTGGAATACATGACATATAACTCCTCCAAACACAGCTTGATGTGCTGTGAGTTGGGAGCAAAAATTATGTTGTGGTCCGAAAAGAGGTGCTAAGACCCATATGCATGCTTCAAAGGTGTGTTCTTCTTCTTCTTCTCCTGCATCCCGCCGCCAACCCGCTCAGGGGGGCGGCGGCGCAGGCGGGTCGAGCGGCGGCTCGGTCCGCCCGACACCCTCGATGAAGTCGACGACCCTCGCCGCCGGGCCGCCGAGGACGTCGACCAGGCGAGGGTCGACACCCCAGCGGCGGCGGCGGGCCGCCTCATAGGCCGGACAATCGGTCAGCAGGTGCGTCACGCTGTCGGGCTCCCCGCACGCGGGGCATTCGTCGTCGGCTGCCAGGCCAATCTTGTAGAGCGTGTCGCGGGTCAGCGGTGATGTGCCGGTCCTCAGCTGGGACAGCGTCACCGACCCCCAGCGCGCCAGGGAGTCGTGGTGGCCAGGCGTGGGGTCCGGGTGCGGGTGGGCAGCGGTTGCCCTCCGTCGCGACAGCTCCCGGACATGGCGCGTGACGGCGGCCCGCGCACTCGACAGGTCGATTGGTGCGCTATCTTGGTCGCCCGCCGTGGCCTCGCCAGCCAGGCAGTCGGCGGTCTCGTTGCCGTCCAGCCCGGCATGGCCTGGCACCCACTGGAGCACCGTCTCGGTGCCGTTCTCGGCGAGGGTGTTCAGCAGCCTCCAGACCTCGGCGGCCAGGGCCATGGTCTGGTTAGCTGGGCCGCGACCGAGTAGTTGTAGCCCAGACCTCGAGTCGGTGAGGAGGCGGACCGACTTGGTCGATGCCAGCTCCCCGTCTTCCAGGCCGGCCACAGCCGCGAGCGCCTCGCGCATGGCGGTCAGTTCTGCTCTCAGGCTGGAGCAGACCGCCCCTGCAGGAGCGCGCACGGTTTCTTCTCTGTTGAGGTGGTGGAACTGGATCAGCGCGCCTGCGCCGCCCTGTTCCGTCCCGCCGCGAGCCGAGCCGTCCGACCAGATAGTGACGTCCGGTTGCAGTCCGCAGGGCAGCTTCCCTGCGGACTGCAGGCGGGTCCGACCGGCGGGTGGCCACGGGCAGGTCTACCCTGAAGGTGGTGCCGCCGCGGTGGCCCAGCCATGGCGGGTCGCAGTTGTAGAATGCCATGGGCTCCACCGGGAGCTCCTCGATTCCTGCCTCCTCGGCGAGCCACTTGCCGACCCTCCTGAGGCACGGTCGGTGAGGGAGTGCTGCAGTCTCGTCTGGTGGCTTGGGCGGCGGTCTTCCCGCGGCGGTGGCGTCGTCGCATGTTCTTTGCCATGCCTTGTAGGCTCGGTGTTGGAGAAGCGACTGTACCTCCTTCCGGAAGAGGGACTTGCCCGGGTCGCTCGGGGGCAGGCGGATTACACGCTGGTACTCCGCGCCTGCCAGCTGTAGGGCCCGGAGCGAGAGTGTCGGGAGACCAGCCTCGGCCAGGACTCAGGAGGGCGTCCTTCCGGGTCGCACGTAGGCAGCCGGTGATGACGCGGGCGCACTTGTTTTGCTCGGCTTCGAGGCGTCCTCTTACCGACGGGGCGGCGTATGTCCCGAAGACGGCGGCGCCGTAGTCGAATAGGGCCCGGATATAGCCGATGTAGGCCGCTCTGATGGTTCGGCGGTGGCTTCCCCAGGTCTTTCCGGCCAGTGCCTGCAGGCATCGCCTCCGTCGGGACATCTTGGCTTTCAGGTCGTCGATGTGGTCCGCGAAGGTGAGCTGGGGGTCAAACTTGATGCCCAGGAAGGTCGGGTTGCGGGAGTAGGGCAGCTCCTCCGCGCAGCGTCAGGTGCGGCTTGACCTTCCCTCCGCTCTCTCTTGGGTCGAGAGTGAACAGGGTGGCGGTGCACTTCGTCACGCTGGGCGTGACTTTCCAGCGTCGCAGCCACGTGTCCACCGCGTCCAGGCAGGGCTGGAGGAGGGCGTCGCACTCTCTAGCAGTGGGGGCGCATGCCAGCAGTGCCACGTCGTCCGCGAACAGAGACCGCGAGACGTGCTCCGGCATTGCTACGTCGATGTCATTAACGTAGACCAGCCATAGGAGCGGCGCCAGTACGCTGCCCTGAGGGAGGCCCTCCTGGAAGACCCTGAGGTCTGAGCGGGCAGCGCCCCTGCGGACGCGGGCGCGCCTGTCCGACAGGAAGGCCCTCAGCCACTTGATGAAACAGCCGGGGACTCCCAGCCGAGCCATCTTGCAGAGCAGCGCGGCCCTCCAAACTCGGTCATAGGCTCTCGCGAAGTCAAGCAGGACCATGACCGCTCGGTGGGGTTTCTTCTCCTCGAACGCGTCGAATATCTGTTGGGATATTCGGCCGAGCTGGTCCATGGTGTGTCAAAGGTGTGTTCCAGAGGGCTGTTCACGGGCACCGCACACGTGTGTTCGGTGCGTCCAGCAGGCGTGGGGGTAGGGGATGGGTAGGCAGCTCTGACGTCACGGCTGCATGCGGTGGACGGTCCGCTGTGGCCAGTCCCGACCGGCCACAGCGATCGCTGTGTGCGGTGACGGAAGGCTGACGTAGGGACGCAGTGGGCGGAGCTTCGAGGCTGTGTGCGGTCCGACCGCACACAGGGCCTGTGAACAGCCCTCAGGCTTAATGAGAAGCTCAGATGAGTGCTGCCTTGAGTGCTGCTGGAAGACTGCCACAGGAACCTCTATTTTAGGAGATCAGTTGCTGATAAACTGAACAAGTACTGGAGCGAAGTGGTAATGCAATTATCCATGTTTACAACCATTCACAGTTCTGGGGCAGGAAGGAGCTGCATCATTGTTGTTATGCAGCTTTCCACGAATCCATCTGTGCCCATATTTATATGAAATACTCCAGGAGAGTAAGGTGTCTCAGCGGCCTCACTGGGGATTGCTATGGGTTCATCCCGGCTGTCCGTCCCTTTCTTGGTTAGGTGGATCTTGGCAGCTTCCTGGCCTGACCCTGGGAGGGGGATGGAGTCGGAGAGCAGTACCGCTGTGGCCAAGCGATCGTACACGGGTGCTTCCTCTGTGTGGCCGGCTTTGGAAGGCTTCTCCTCTCCGGTCGCCACCAGTTCATAGTTGATGTCATCGGCGGGGTCCTCCTACTTTGCAACCACTCTCAGCTCAGCATGTCGTCACTCGACAGCGATTTTGCCGGTCAGAACATTCTGGCAGCTGGGGACTCGCGCCTGACTTGGGCGATCGCTAGGCTAGTCTCTACCATGAGCGGTACTATCGTTGATTTTCTGCGGCCGATTGCCAAACGGTGATGCGTTTCACTGAGCCCAGATCGCGGTTCAGCTGCTCACCGTGCCCGGGGGGCGTGGTGGGTAGCCACGCCAACGCTTCACACTCGAGTATTTTGATCTATTCATTGGCCATCGTCCCTAGCTGCTCTTCTTAGAAACCTTTCGACCCGTTTGTCCTAGGCCATCCGAGCTTCGACTTGCCCGTTATGCTGTCGCAGTGGTCGCCGAGATAGGACAGCCTGGTTAAGTGCCCATCACGGTCTAGAGGTGGCTCAGAGGAATGCCCCAGCTTGAACTACGGCCCCGTCGACTCCGAGGTTGAAATTAATTGCGTTTTAACTCTGGGGAGAAGGAGTGTTGAGTGCTTGGGTCTCCTTTGTTTTCCGCGATGTTGATCTTCCAGTGGTGCGCCCACCTGGCTCTTGTGTCAATCGGCTGTTGTTTTGCTCTGGCTCTTTTGGGGTTAACATTGCTCCGACGATTCATGTTGGTGCGTCGTCCCATATGGTTCCCATAGGTGAAGACGTACGTTATTGGTGTTTGACGGAGCTCCTCAGTCGATCGGCAAATCATGTATAAAGAGCAAGGGAAGAGAGTCGGTGAATGAAGCCTGGGCCGAATCTTGGGGCAGGCCCGCTAGGGAGTGGCGCTCAAAGCTGCGTGCAATGTTCACCTCCCACGTATGGGCGGCTCGGCAGTCGGCAGTCCCTCTGGAATTTGAACACCCGCGCGGTCATATAATGCAGGAGGTGTCAGAGTCGCTAGAAGTAGAGCTCCGGTGGTCCACTGTTCACTAGGCGCGGCTAAAAAAAGCGGCCAAGACCCGTAGGACGAACTTGCCCTTCGGAAACCAACGTAGTTGAATGGTAGCAGGTGCTTTCGTTCCGGCACACGGCAGTATCGCAGCGTCCTCTCCTCTCAGCTAACTCAGCTCCTCTCAGCTCCTCTCAGCTAACTTCGCCAGGTGACTAGTGATGCAGATCGGACCGTAGCAGCTGTTCACTGTGCCCGAGTTCCTGTCCTGAGTTCCTGAGTTCCTGAAAAGGAGTAAGGACATTCATCAGCCTTGGAGATAAGGATGATGAATGTCCTTACTCCTTTTCCGGGGAGGAGGGCTAGTTAGGGTTAGAAAGAGACTGAAGATGCGACGGGAACAGAGTCAGAGACTTGGACGGTAGGTATAGAAACCGTGCAAGCCCTCATTAGACAGGCGGGAATAACTTGACTTCGCAGTGGTTTTATCTGAGTCAATTTTTTTTCAACAGTGTTTCAAGTGGGCAATGATGTGCTTAGTGCATATACAACCTTAGCGGTAACTGGTTTTGTTAATATGCTCTACAATTTACATCTTAAAACAAGTGTTGACAACTCCTGTATTATCTTTACAGAGTATTTAGATGGGTGCTGGAGAATCTACAATGGCGTCCCCCGCGATCAAACAGTCTGTTGATCAGCTGATAAAGGCTAATAAAGTTATGATTTTCTCAAAATCATACTGTCCATACTGCACTATGGCAAAGAAGGTATGTGCATCGCCGACTTCAGGCTTGCTGATGTGCCTATTTGAGTGCAGTTGTGCTTTCGAAGTGTTTCACGAGGCGGTAGCTAAGCTAGGTAGCTCGGCAGCTAAGGCCATTCGATGTGCTGCCTTGGATATACTTTACTGCTAAGTCATTTTATTATATATGTAAGTGTTTACCTTCCTTTTTCTGGGTAGTTTTGTCTACATTTAGCGAAGTTATAGCTAGATTTGAGCATTGACTTTTTGTTTGCTAGGTATTTTAGGCTAAATGCAAGTCGATTGTTTTGCTGTAGACAACTATTTGTATGTCATGTTACCAGCATTTAAGAGTTGATTAAATAATTACTTTATTTTTCAGGTGTTCAAAGAAATGGGACAAGAATATGGTCTGATAGAACTTGATGAAACGCAAGATGGCAGCAGTATGCAGCAGTACTTAGCGCAGATAACAGGGGCTAGCTCGGTAAGGGAGTTCAGTAATGATTAGGTATTGTTGTAGTTAGTTGTCATTCATATTGTTACATTGTGTTCATTGCCACAATTTGTTAGCCGTTATTAGTTCATTCATTCTGCGTTCGTAGTCTGGGTTGCCATTGACGACCGCCAATCAACGGTTCGGGATTGTTCTCGCTTGCCTGCAGGTAGGTTCCGGTGCAATAACTATGCAATATGTGCAGACTATCCCAGACTATCCATTCTCTCGGCGTGCAAGCCAAAGAACTATTTCACACGAGTCACGACAAGCGGGAACTTACGTCGTAGTTACCTGCGCCTTACAGGGTGTCCAGAAACTATCCAGTTCAATGGTGTGCAGTAACACAATATCAATGGAAACCGGATAATGGTTTATTTGCTGAATAAGTCACCCACGCCACCACGCTTTTCCAAACAGGCCCTCCTTTGCTCTGGTATCCCACATTAAACTGTTGTCAAGCATCTGTACAGTGTGCTGCGATGCTGCGCCATGCTGAATGGGCATTTCCGATGAGATTGGCTTCTGGCGTCGGTGGGTCCGTCTTGTCCTTCTTATCCAGGGACCAGGATGATAGCTGAGAGATTATGTCAGCTAGGCGACAGGTCTGGGTGTTTGCTCGGCCCGACGCCCCCAACCCCAAGAGGTAGGAAAGAGTCTGGGTCTTGGTGGCTGTGTGTGGCTGTAGCTGTGTTCCAGCGACTCCGTCCGACTGGAAAATATGTTGCAACATGACTCTCAGAAGTTTGACCACTGCTGGAGGCTGTTGTCCATCTAGCGCCTGATGAACGATACCGTCGTGTTTCAGCTCCCTGATTCTGGGGATTTGTACGGTCTTAGTGCTCGCATTTTGCCAGAGGTGTGTGCGAGCCGTGATATGTGAGATCGGAGACCGGCCGCAGTGATAGGCGGCTGAACGTGGGGGGCACCGGGGCACCGTGCCCCCCTTTGATTTTGGCATTTTAACATTAACCCTATGTGCGTTGCATGGAAAGAATGGGACCAAAAGTCGGCAGTGTCCCCCCCCCCCCCTTAATTAAAGGTGTTCCGCCGCCACTGGCCGCAGTGAGCCGTTTTGCCAGCTTATGGTCGGCTGGCGCCGCTTTGTCACAGAAACCACCCATTAGGCGACAGGGATGCGGAGGATTTTCTGCTGTTGCTCTTCTTAGGTCCTCTTTCGTTTTCGCCTTCATAAACGAAACCTTAAACTGTGTAAGACTGACGCCGAGACATTTGAAGATTGTGCAATCCGTTCCCAACCAGCGAAACCATGCTTTCCCTCGGCGCTCCAAAATATGTTTTGCCAATTTTGGTCTTGCGCAGCGTAAGGCGTCTGCAGCGTTGCTCGGGGTCTGGACGTGTTGTGACCGCCCGTATTGTCGCCGACGGTTGGGCTACGTATGGTGGGTAAGGCAATACCCAATTTGCGACTAACAGCTAACGTCAACGCCCAATAGCCCAGTGCCAGCTCCCGCCAATACAAAGTCGCCAGTAACGGGGCGAAATTGCAAGGAAATCTCATTTCGCGTGGTTCCTTTGTACCCAATGACTCGTATGACTCGCTGATTTCCGAATCCTCTCGCCAGGTTCCCCGGGTGTTTGTCAGTGGCAACTGCATCGGAGGCGGCACCGAGACCAGGAGCCTCTATCAGAGCGGACAGCTCAAGTCAATGCTCGCCTGATGCTCATCACACACCTAGTCTCCATGCATGTCACCGAATCGGCGCCCTGACGCGAGACATGAGAAGACGGGTCTCTGATTACACAAACCTGGTCCTCGGGGCTGGACTGGGATATCCTGGCCCATCTCAGGTGCCTTTGTGACGTGTGTTATTGTATTTGAGTTATCAGAATATATCGACGGCGATGGTGATGATGTCCTAATCACGGTTTTCACTAAATCTGTTCGGCCGTACCGCTTACAGCGTGAAACGACTTGCGTATTCATCAACCCTATCGCGAGTTACGAAGATTCCCAGTTGTTGCGGTCTGCGGATCCATGTATTGTCGCCGTTCATGGTTATCTCCGTTGGAAATTTGAGTAAAGTTGAGTTCCTGTGCATTACAAGGCCTTACACATGATATTTTATCGTATTTGAAACTGTTACTGTAGTACGCCTAGAATAAATACATATTGTCTCTGCTCTGTTGGCTTTAGGCAGGGCTGAGCTGCGGACTGCGGTATAACATGGAAGCTTTCAAGCGCAGGAAGGCTCCCACCAAGTCCGCCGCGGCTGTTGCAGAAGAATCTGCTTGCCAGACTGACGGTGGCGTCGGCACAGGACTGTCCCACCAGCGTGGCAGTCAGCCGGTCTGAACGGCGACGAGCGTGATGGAGCGGAATAAGAGCCACTAATGTAAGCATTTTTAATGGCGTATTTTGTGAAGTTAGGCGATGAACAATTTGGCATACCGTTGTGATGCAAGAAGTGCCAACAAAGCAGGCAAATATCTCTGAACTAGGGCGGTACTCGGGCTAGCCCGAGCAGAGTGATGCCAACCATGGATTGTTCTTGGAGCCTGGCCTGGACTGGACTGGACTTCGAATTGAAATCTAATATGGAACCCTTGGCCTAATATGACCCCAGGAGTTCAAGTCCCCCCGGGCCCCCGGACTCCGTCCTGTGTGGAGCCCCAAAAAAGCTTGTGTTAGGCTCCATGCCTCAGATCCGGCTTGTCCGTCTTTGTCTCCGCTATTTCGGCGCCGATCTATGCATGTGCTCTCCAGGGCGCTTCGGTGCCCCGAAATCCAATCGAGAGGCACGGACCCCTGTTCCATCCTCTTGTTGTGCCAGTGTGATTTATTACTCATTGAGCTGAAGGGTGAGTATTTTCATGTAAAAATGTTGTGAACTTCGAAGTTACAAATGAAGTTATGTCTTGGTTATGATTTGAGAACTCACAATTTTCGCCATAAAGTTATCCCCCACCTAGATGAAGTTTTCTCCCTTGTCCTTTCTGCGTCGATTTCGTCGTGAATGGCTACCATATGTATGTAATTGTTCATTAACTGCAAAAATCCGCCAATGAAGCACAAGTATTGTGTTGGTGACCAATGAAAAGCCGCTAATCAACGAAGTAACCGTAAAATAAAAAAACTAAACACGTTTTGCACCCTTCTGCTAGACTTTCTTGTGTGTGTTGTAGCGAGTATTTGTTGCATTGTAACAACTAACAAGTGTAGGTATTTGTATGTCAATAATTTCAAATAATTTGGTGTGTTTCTCGTAATATATTTTGAACTCTTCACTCTGGAACCACTAACCATTAGAGCAACAGCAGTCAGCACTGCAGATAAGCTTTTTGATAGCCCATTTTTCTGTAGGTAGGTAATAATTATTGACTCAATAAGTCAATAGTCAAAAATCCATTATATTTATTTTGCCAGCATCACCTTTCTCGAAAAGTAATGGCTTTTTCTCATGCTCTATTACCTTTGCTAAATATTTTCTCTTTTATTCACCGTTTTTCTTGTGCTTTGGTATTATGACGTCATTTTCATAACGTCAAAAACTAATGAATATCCACATCATTTTTTCTTTTATAGGGCAGCGTTGTATGTTTCGTTTTTGTTGCGGAAGCATGCTTTCTTCAGTGTGTATTGTGCAGCAGTGCGGTGTAATGTGCTGGGGTTTTAGTATATTATTTTACATTTTTGATGCATTTAAGCATCATATCTGAATTCAGGACATCAAATAGTGTAAGAATGTGCATTTTTTCTTGTTAAAATAATATTGCAGACCTAAAGTAAATATTTACCCATTTCTCTTGTCTAAACATGTCAAATGAACAATAATTTGATCATAGTCTAAAAGCTTGAATTTATATACAAGTGTGGTAGATTGTAGGATGAAAAAGAACATCTTTGTAAATGCTTTGTCTTTGTAAAGTCAGGGTTGAAAAATGCTCGTATAAAGTGGAGGTGAGAGTGGAGGATTATTTTCATTTCGATGTCTTTTCCACCCAAATCAGCCAAGTTTGGGATGCTATGGTGAGTGTTCGTCTGCGGAGGTCGACGACTGATAGGTCTCAGAGATGAGGGCCCTGGCGGACCGGTCGGCGCGGCCCGGTGCATCGCATAGCGTCCTAGCTCCTGATCCTCGTAGGGGACCGGCACTTCCGGAGATGTGCCTGGTGCGTGCATGAAGGGGTTTGCCAGTGGGCGGTGTCTTATGAGGTGCGGCGATCAGAGATGGGGGGCTCAGCGTAGAAGCAGGGAGAGGCGTGGCACCAGGTGGAGGGCGATGCAGGGGTTGTATGTGCCGCAAGTACTACCGGTTGCGCAAGGTGATACAGCCGGACCCGTGCACCTTGACAAGATATTGGTCATGTGGCATCGTCTCCACCACCACGCCGGTGCGATGTCATCGTTTGCTGTGTGGGCCGGACTGGTTCTGGAGACGCACCGTGGCGCCGGAGACCACTGGGGCGGCAGCTGGCGAGTATGTGGAGTCAGTATGTCCCCTTGCTTGGCGAACCGGAGCCGTAGGACCTCCTCCTGATGTGCCCATGCCTCGCGCCATGTAGGGTGCACAGCAGCGCTGGTGAAAACTTGAGTCTGTGGCGCGACAGGCAGCAGGTCACGGAGATTGCGGCCGAATATGATTTGTGCGGGTGACAGGCCAGTCTCCATGTCAGGTATGTTGCGTTAGGGCAGGAGACCTGCTGCGACAGCTTCTGTGTCTAGGTCACCATCGGCAGTCGTGTGCGATGTCAAGAGGCGTTTCATGGTCTTAACTGCGACCTCCGCTCCACCGTTAGACCTCGGATGATATGCGGATGATTGACGGTGGTGCACGCCCCAACCGTCAATCGATGCAGGAGGGCTGCGGTTGCCTTGGCAGCAAACTCAGGCCACCGTCGGTGCTCAACTCCTCAAGAACGCCATATGTGGCGAAGTAATTGATCAGTGCGCGTCCGAGGCCGACCGCTCCGGGACCCGAGCGAGTTGTTACGATGTGTGGCCAGTTGCTGAATCGGTCGACAACCACAAGGGAACTCGTGCCCCGTGCTTCGCAGTAGTCAGCGGCGATAGCCTGGAACGGGCGTGATGGAACACACGGTGGCGCAGGTGGCATGGGCGGCTGGGACGGCGTTATGCGACAACAGTCTAGGCATTCGGTGCGGGTGGCCTCGATATCTTTCGAGATACCTGGCCAGAACACAGCACCTCGTGCCTGGCTCACCACCTTCGACGTACCCTGGTCACTGGTGTGCAGCGTGCAGGGCGCGTAATACTTCCGGCGCGACTGCAACGTTGGTGGCACCACCACCCGGGTGTCATCCATCATCACGACGTCGTCGACAGTGGACAACCGATCGCGAAACTGAAAGAATGGCTCAAGAGCCTCGGGTACGTCGTCACGTGATGCTGGAAAGCCGGAATGAATCATGGCTATTAGGTCCTGTAGATCATGGTCACAACGTGTCTCGGTTAGGACATGCTCCTATGTGGTGGCGCCGAGCGCGTTGGCCGACGTCTGGGCGGCGGCGATGACGGCGGGCTTTAGCTCGTCCTCAATGCCGGGCCGCCGGCGCGGACACGAACGGCAGCGAGGACGTCTTGGCCGGCTTCTGGTCGTGTTATAGCCGAGGGTACCGGGATGCGGCGTCTGCCACTGGAATGGTACGACCGGGAACATGGGCAATGCGGTAGCGCCACATCAGGGTTCGCTGTTTCAAGCGAAACAGGCGTGGATTTTGTATGCCAGCAAGTTCCCTGTCGCCGAGTAGCTTTGTTAGCGGTTTGTGATCGGTGGCGATCACAAGGTCGCGGCAGCCCATGGTGAAGAACTAGCTATCCTCAAGGGCCCAGGCCACCGCTATCGCTATCGCAGGACAGTATTGGAGTACCATGTACAACTTTGACTTTGCAGCTCAAAGTGAAAGTTACATTAACTATCTGAAATAACTAACCTGTAAGATAACTGTCTAATGCCTACTTATAAAGCTTTGAAATGTAATGTTTTGAGGCTTTATCCTTGTTTTTTTTTCAGATGAGGGCCTGAACTTGTCTGCTAACAACAGTCAAGTGTTTGCTAAGGACAGACCCCGACAATGGGGCTGCCGTCCCCTGAAGCTAGTCTGCTTGGCAACTCTAGCTTGTTGCTGCCTACTAATGCCACTGACATTGGTAAGGCCTACCTCTGACATTGGTAATGTCTAGGCCCCAACCCCCATGGTCTCTGAGGCTTAAGTACTCAGGAATCTCTCACCATGCCAATTTCACTCTGTTGTTTTTCACTCAGCTATGGTTATGAAGCTTTCATGATTGCACCATCAGCAGTAATTCAGCACTAATCACTATGGTTGGTAATAATGGTGTGCAGTGTACTCCCATTTCCAGCAATTTTTTAGGGTTTCTTTAACCCGCACCGAGCCCCTGTGTTTTTTCGCAGATATCTCAAAAGCCGCCGTTTTTGGCACACCTGTTTGTGCATCTTTTCCGCACATGTGAAAATTTCAGACCTAGGTCATCTTAGGTCAGGTCACCAGGTCACGCTAAGTGACCTCACCTCAGAAAAAAATAAGAATGCTCGTCATAGCTACACCGATTGATCGATTGCCTTGAAACTTTCAGCGATTGATTAGAGCAACAGTATCTATAAAATGTATAACTCGGAATTTTGATATCTGTGACCTAAGGTCAGGTCAATTTTGCGGCCTCTCCATTTTAAGTCAATGGGAGAAAATTGAAAAGCGTCGGTTTTGCACGAACGCCATTCTAGACACTCTCAAACATCGAGATGTAGGTACAATTGACACACTGAACCGGAAAATGGCAACTGTGACCCCTCGTTATGTCCCCGAGGTCATCTCAGGTCACGAACAGAATCTAACAGATTTTCGCTAATAACTTCTGATAGAGAAGTGCTAGAGCGCTGAAAACGCCTTAGATGTGTTCGGTTCGACGTTGCGAAGCGATGTCTTTTCATTTTTTCAATATAACGGAAAAATCTCAGTATGAGCGGCCCGGCCTGTAACGCTTTTGAGAAGCTTATATCTCAGCAACCGCTGGGCCGATTTACTTACGGTTATTATGGTAGGGTAGCTTCATTCCTTCTTCCAAGTATTGGACTATTTTTGATACATGTAGATGACCTCTTATGCTCGTGCCACGTGCAAAACGAAGAGGTGTCAGTTTTGTAACAATTTCAATACCTATCTCGGTAACTACTGGACCGATTGCGCTAAAAGTTGACAATTGGCATGTAGGACCTCACTAGGCAATGCATTTCCATGTGCCACAGTTGGGGTGCAATTGCACGTGCGCACGTGCAGAGGTCGATTACAGATCTCGAGAACGGCTGGACCGATTGCGCTCAAATTTGGTACACGGGTAGGGACCGGTTAGTAAGGTGCCGTGCAAAAGTCAGTTTGGACCCAGTTTGGACGTGCGCATGTGCAGGCTGCCGCTTCCAGATCTCGAGAATGGCTGGGCTGATTGTGCTCAAATTTGGCACATCGCTTGAGACCGTTTAGTAGAGTACCGTGCACGAGTCAATTGGAAGTACCCCTTCGTAATTCCGCACATGCAAGGGTCACCCTCTCGCTCGCTCGTCTGTCGCCCCCAAAAGGCGTTTTACTGGTTTTATTCATTTACATAGCTTTACCGTCTACTATTCTATTTTAAGGACCTTTACCTATGACTTTTATTTCGCATTCTAAGCTTCCTAGTAGATTTTTTGAAGTACCTACCCAACACTCATTTTTTTGGCATTTTAGCTAGCAAGTTAAAAATTTCCATCGTAATTAGTCGCTGTAATGTCTACTCATAATTTCATTTGGTTCGACCTTTGAAGGAATGTCGTCAGATATAGGTACCAGTAACAACATAATCACAAAAATAAGATATAGACGGTAAATGTTTTTGCCTTTAAGGTGCATAATGATGCCCTTGATCCTATGACTTCGAATTCTGCCATCCACTGCGGGTAATTGATACGGTCACTATGCTACAACCCGTGAACCAAGGTCCGCGGCCCCTGACCCTCGTACTGTCGTCATGCCACTCGCGCCGGTGATTCATTAGCGTCCGGGACTGGTCACTATCACGGCTGCGTGTCTCAATATTGGCTGGGGTGCGTGCACCGGCGACCCGACACGCCACGACGCTCCGCTCGCCGGTGCGTCCGCGGACCCGGGGGTCTCCGGCGGCACGGGGGGCAGGTGCTAGCTCAGAGGCCAGTTGTACGAAAAGAAAAGTCTTGTTTTGCCCAAAGACATAACCGAATATCGCCAGCCACGCTAAAAATAATCGCTGATGTGAAAAGTAGCATCAGTGAGCCCAATTGCTATGTTCTCATATTATCGGTCATTGTTTTCGTCTGGTTGGTATAAGTTGTTGGGGACCTGAAAGAATAAAATACCGTCATTCGGTGATTTCGCTTTTTGTAAAACTAACTGGAAGCACGATATACAGGCGTGAGATACACCTTACGGATGTTATTAAGAACCTCAAAATTTAATATGTTGTCATGATTGACGATTTCTCCATGTTTGATTGTATTCTGGTTTCCAGTAGACCTTCTTCCAATAGCTGTGCTTTTGACGTGCCACCGGGCTATTCTGACTTTCGATTTGAAACGGTTGGTGTGGAGCTCGCCAGGCTGTTATTCCTCTCAAACTGTAATTCTGTTGAAGTCATCACGTCTTGTACCCGGTCCAGTCACTGTATGTACGGCTCTCCAGGTATTTAGTGGTTGGTTGCCAACATCACAATAAGCGATCTGCATTGATGAATACGTCTAATGGCTGTTAAAAACCATTGCGGAAGTGTGTGCACGAACCCTCTTCTCATTTCTATTGAGTCATTTTACAGGAGTGTCTCTGTCATTCAAAGTTATTACACCAAAAGAACATAGGCTAACCAACCACTCTTTTGCTGGAGGGCCGCACCTGGTCCAAGCTTTGTGTACCTGTTCCGACCTCTGTGTGTTTACCCGCTCTGGCAGACGGTGACGACGCCGGCGGCTGCGGGATGGCCTGGGCCGAGCCGCAGCACCTGCTCTTCCAACTTGCCAACGGCTGTTTCCTGGTATCGTACCTGGCGCCCAACTCACAGCGGGGACTGCTGGCACTGCACGCCGTGCTTATACTGGGTACGTGACTGGTGGAGAGTGAGGTGATGGCAATGGAAGGATCTGTGTTGGTGAAGTGAGGATGGTATGACCTTGTTGATGACGATTCAAATAAGGGGATCGGTTATATCCCTATCGCGATGCATTTGTGCAGTGATGATTCTGTAATCAAAAGTGATTTGTCGTTACTACATATTGTTGCCAGTTTTTGGCCGGTCTTCGCCTGGCCTTGACCATCACTTCACCGCACTTCACCTCTGCTCCTCCTCGCGGCAGGATTTTTCCTGTACTCGATGTGGGGCTGGAACGTGATCTGCGCACCGGGCATCTTCACCTGGAACTTCCTGTTTGTGCTGCTGAACATGGGCCAGGTGCTGCACATCATTTACCAGATGCGGCCGGTCAAGTTCAACCAAGAGCTAGAGGAGCTTTACAGCACTCTTTTCGAGCCGCTCAGGGTAAGTAAGGGCTGTGCGGGAGGAAAGGTAACTGGTATTGAGATAAATATGTGCGGAGGACGGAATAATGGGATACAGTTGGGCTATTGAGAATTAGAAAGCTAAGTGAATGAGTGTCTTATGCGAGATTTTTTTATTATTATGTAAAGTCGCATGCCATTTTGTGATGGCGAACTTCAAACGGATCATTGATTGTAGTGGACTTTGGCCTTGAGTGTCAGCCACTGTTTTCCCATGTGCGACAGTGTCGGCGCGCTCTCCACGTGACCTCTGTTCCGTGCGCCCCTCCCCGCAGGTGCCGCGGATGTTGTTTCGGAAGCTGGTCAGCTCCGAGTATGCCCAGCTGGTGACACTGCACGCCGGCGAGGCGTACGCCCTGCAGAACCTGACGCGCACCGACCGGCTGGGGATCCTGCTGGCCGGACGGTGTAACGTGCTCTCCGACAACAACTTCCTGCACAGTATCGGGCCGAACCAGTTCCTGGACAGCCCAGAGTTCGAGTCCACCAAGGCCACCGCCGAGGAGAAGTTCAAGGTGCGCGGAGAAAGGAAAGAGGGATGAGGCATGTGGGAGGGAGGCTGAGTGCGTGCGAGGGTGGGATGCATGTTTATTTTGATCGAGAGTTAGTACTTTGTTCGGTCCTGATGGTGGTTTGTGTGATTCAATGATGTATTTTGAAACGTTTCGTGCACCGTTTGCTCGGCTTTGCTCTATCGCGTGCTCATGCCTTGTCTGGCCAGTTTTGCAGTGTGATCAATATCCACTCTTAATGGTCAGCCGATTTATCTTTTCATCTGACACATGCTCCTGCTTGATTTTCATACAGTGTCCTGTTTCCACATCTAACTCGCCCCGTCCCCGCCTGCGTCGGTAGGTGGGCATCATCGCGGCCAACCAGTGCCGGTACATCTTCTGGCACCGGTCCGCCATCGAGTACCTGTTCGTCAAGGAGCCCTACCTGGCCACCGTCATGTCCACCATGATCGCCCGCGACATCACCAACAAGCTCTACTGCATGAACCACAAGGTGCGTGACACGCTGCTGTATTATTCCCAGTGTATAAAGTATAAACTCATGCGGTATGAGTAAAAGGGCGGATAAAACTAAAAGATGTACGTACCGCAATGGGAACGTGAACAGACACACGTCGGATTTGGAACTGGCAGGTTCGGGTTCAGAGACCTAAAGACGAAGAACCTGTGGCTCTTGCTGTATCAGGGTAAAACGGAACAGCCAATGCTTTGCATCGTGAAAAAAAACAGCCACACCGTCACAACCCTGGTAGCGGATAATCGAGTGCCTATTTAGTAGTGGCTAGTCAGTACGAAGTACGCGTGTTATCAAAATTATTCTGTCCTGCCACTTAGGTAACACATGTTTTGCACGTGACGGACATACCTCTGTGCCATCACCCAACCCTACCCGTGACCGGATCGATGACAGACAGTGGCATGTAGCCACTGCGACATAGTCCGGTCCGCCGACCCGGCCATGGTGCCGGGGCTGACCGAAACCACACACTGCCTAACTCGTGTAATGCGTGTAATATGTAGCCGTACCATAATATCCACGCTCCCAGGAGGAATTCAAGTGTGTTTTTTGGTAAACCTAGAAATGAAAATAGTTAAGGAAATTTTGTCAGACATATTATATAATAGTTTATAAGACTGACATTCCGATCCCGATCGGCTTGATTTCGTTTCAAAACAAATACGAGGTGGGCTGTTTATAGCGATCATTGTTATACTTTGGTCTATCTGAGTTTGTTTCAGACACACAGACATAAGGGTGCGGGGAGAGGGTGCGGGCGTAGTTCACACCCCGATGTGTGCTCCGCGTTATTTTTACAGCGGCCGCTGCCACCGAGCAGTGGTATTGCCGCGTTCGGGGGTTCACCTTGGTGTGATACGACCGTTCTTTGTGCTGGCGGTGACCGACGTGGTCGTGCGTGCTTCGCGGAGTTAAACTTGAAGCCGGTACAGTACTGCAGTGCCAAAAATACGGGAGTGACACGGCACACGTGACGGCGGGTGCGGTACTGTGTGCTGGGTGGCGACGACCCCCCCCCCCCCCCCCTCCGTACGGACTGCTGTGGTAGGCTGACGACCGCGTCCGGTAGACATGGGGCACAAAGCCAGCCTGGCCAGTGATCGGCTAATGATCAGTCTAGCCTCGCAGGTCAGACCACGCAGTGATCATGACCACCGTGGGACCTCATTGGCGTCCTACGAACCCGGCGCCATGCTAATGGTTTATGTACAGCGGCCCGCCCCGTTCAGACTGTGTGCACTGGCGGCTGGTGTACCCTGGGTAGCTGCGTCCGTCCACCAGTAAATATACGCAGTGGACGGTCCGCCCCTTCCCGAGGGGGCTGTGTTAGAGCTGACCTCGGCCCGACCATTCGAGGTGTAATTGGACGCAGACGTTTAGCTTGTCAACAACTCACAAAGTGGTTGCAACCAAACGGGGAATCAATGCATGATATTGATCAAATAATTGAATATAAACGGTCGCTACCAAGTGTACCCAATGGGTGATCGTATTTCTCGTAACTGGCGTACTGCGTAAGTCAGATAATTGGATATAATAGCCGAGGAGTTGGGGCATAACTCTTGTCAGCTGTCACCTGGCTGCTGCTGATTTTGACAGCGATCGTCAGTGGCCTTGTGACTGCGATTGCATATAACTATATCAGGGCAAGACTGGACTTTGATGTCGCCTTGCCCAATGGTTGGTTGCTGATGAGCGGGCTTCTTTCGGGCTTGCTGATGACCGGGTGACCGCGACAGAGTTTGTCCCCGTGAGCGGCAGGAATGGCTTTAAGTACCGCCTAGCGGTCACTGTCAGTCTGACCATCCCCGTCCATGGGATTGAAAGACGATTACGTAGAACTTCCCAGCAGTGACTGGCTGAGATGATGTATGTATATGTTTATGTCAGCTAGGACTGTCAGGTGAGGACTGAGTTCCTCCGCGGTGGTGATTGTGACTGAGTTTGGTAATCTCTCCCAGGTGATGACTGAGCTCCTCCGCGGTGGTGATTGTGACTGAGTTTGGTAATCTCTCCCAGGTGATGACTGGGCGCGGCTCAGCGGTGGATATCCGCCTGCCCAGCATCACATCATCACTGAGCTCGTGTGAGGTCCGCTCTCCACGCGCCGTGCCGCGCCGCGAGCTGAGGAGCGAGTCCTCTCCGGCCGGGAATGGGGAGCTGGTGCGCCCCTCCGGACTGGGACTGGCCTCGCCCGAGCCGGACAGACTGCGTGAGTAGTGGTACAGACACCCGCCGCCTGCTGTGTTCATTAGGCGTGTGTTCGGCTTAGGAATGTGTGCTTGGACAACTGCTGTGGTCACAAGGACGCCATGGCGTTGTTGGGGAGCTTGCAATGGCTCCAAGTGATCGATTAGAGCCAACTGATGTCGATTTCCTGATCAGATGTCGTGAGTGATGCCTATACAAATGTACAGCGATAATTATGTGTTTACGCTGTACAATGGCGCTGTGAATTGGACTTTAGCTACATTATCTATTCTCGGCCCGGTGTGAGATATGACGCTCATATTCCCCGCCAGGTGCGTACGAGCCGGGCCGCCGGAACGGGTCACTGCCCAACACGCGCATGGAGCCGCTGCCGGAGCTGCCCTCCGTCGACGACCTGGTCCAGAGCACACGAGAGGTGAGACGGAGAGGAGGGGTGGTGTTGAGCATGTGGAGTCATGTTTCTGGTATCTTCCTAGCTGAACTTGAACTGTGCTCAGCAGGGGTGCCTTATAAATCAAATTGATGATTGCGAGACATCATAGTCTGTTGGAGGATATGCTGTGGTTAATGTTGATTTAAATAAGACATGGACCACTACAGATCACTGTTTTTTTTTTCTCAAAGCCTCGCTTGTTTTGGAGACAGCTGTGTGCGCGCCCAGGTGGCAAAAAAGGCACACGACCACTAATTGGCGCTCGGACGGCTGCGACCGTGGGTAAATGAGCCACCGGACTACGTCCTATCAGTGCTATCAGACACCGACAACGTTTGCTGTCACATCGTAATGAGTGCGGTCGAGAATATTGAACGAACACTACTGGACGCACACATTCCCGGCTGTCCTGGCGGGCACTTTGACGGGTGTATTGAGTTTTGGGCTTTATTTAGGCATGAATTTCATTTTCATTTCATTTTCAGGTGAATTGTATTTGTGGTGTGAACAGGGAAATTGTCGGTGAGATATTGCTGTTCCAGGACCCCGTTGTCTCCTCGATTTCTGGCTACTACAAAACTACTCTGATATCGACTCAAGCCTACCTTTTTGCTTTTGCTGTTTTCAGATCTAAAAAAGATAAAAAGGTAGTTCCTCTGGATAAAAGGAAAACATTTGAAGTTTCTGGTGCAGCCGGTTATCTATTATAAGCTATCAAACTATCATGACATTTATGATAAGACGAAATCAAACGACCATTTGTCTCTGTTTCAAGCATGCCACAATAATGCCTAATAACATAATGACCTCGCGGCAGTCGACGCGCCGTTAAACCCCAACAAACAGCAAGCCCATTTCTTCTCTATTGGGGTGTTGCTCTGCCTCTGACCAGCGGCGCGCTCCACGTTTCCAGGTCTCAGCCAGCGTCCCCTCGGGTGTGTAGCGTTCGCCCCCCCCCGCGTGCAGATAACCCCCCTAAAACCGCTGGGGTCGGCTGTGGTACGCCGCTTTTATTGTGGACGGCTTTATATTGACCAATGACAGCAAGCTTCCAAGCTACAAGCGGGATGATTTAGAGTTCGGCTTGTTTTCTTTAGCGTCTGTGTCCCGCGGGTTCCATTGCTTTAATAATAGCTGCTTTTATAAACTCCATTGCTTTAATAATATGATAGTTTTAATAATAGCTTGAGCGTGCGGGCCTTTACTGTATGATTTACGTTTGCTTGAATTATTATTGCCTTATCACGGGGCGTCATACCGCTAGGCTGCATTCTTTATACGTCACATGGACCATTAATGTACAATCGATAGGCGCTGCAACACCACTTACGCCACTTAGTATTGAACGGATGGGACTCAGCTGTTACGTTGTTAACCGAGTAGGTGTCTATACTTTGTGTCTATTGTGTGCATCACAGTAAATAAAATAACACTGTGTGCGTGAATGTAAGTAAGTACAGTTGGTTAGCATCAGTTAACGTAATGCCTGGAACAGTGTCAGTAGGGATATGGGATGATTAGCTGTTCGACCGTTTCATTTCCTGTGCTTGATATAGTAATCCCTCCTAGATACATGCCTCCCGTTGCCGTCTCTGGCTACTCTACCTTCCCGTTCTCGCACTGTCCTACCCTCCCTGACGGCGCTTTGTGCCCGCTGCTGCCGTCCGCAGGTGGCCAACTGGCTGGAACAGAACGTCAGACTGAGGGAGACGCCGGAACTGAGCGGCTCGGTGGCCAGGAGGGTGGGCGAGCCGCGGCCCCGCCTGCACTCGGCCAGCACCTGAGCTGAGCCGGCTGGAGCTGAGCTGAGTGGAAGCTATGAGCTGAGGAGGAGATGGAGAAAGAACTGAGCTGGACGAAAATTGAGGCGAGCTGAGCTATGCTGAGAGCAAACGAGCCGAGTAGAAGATAAAGCTGAGCAGATGAGCTGCGCAGCTGCAGTGCTGGATACGGTCCCTCGCCCCGGCCTTTGCCATTCAGTAACTGAGGCTCTGGTCAGTGACCAGCGATTGTCCCCGGCTGATATCAAATCGTCACGTCTGTGCTTTATGTGCCGCTGCAGTGTGTAGGTTGCATTGTATTCGTCACGATGTCCAACGGTGCATATATAGGCGCTTGTTCGTTGGATCTATGTGCGCAGCTAGTCGGCCATCTCCTTCGCACCGGACGACTGTCTTTCCGCGTTTGTCTCTAGCCGCTGGCACAAATCGCGCTGTGTATGTGATAGGCGACTGCAGCACTTCTGGTCTCGGTATCTAGTCACTGGTCACGCAGTGTGGCCGACTGCCCCGTGTGTGAACTATCACTTCTAGTCAGCTGACGGGTCTGTGCCGTTTTCGCCGCGCTGCGCCGCCGTTTGTCGTCACATCTAGTCGGCTCGCTGTGATGACACCGCCCGTCCGAAGCCCTTTGTGAGGCGGGCCGCCGCTCCTTTCTGACTGTGTTAAATCGTTCGTGGCGCTAATGTGTCGTTCGCTGGGCGGGGCCGCTTCGGCAGGTCGCTGTAGCTAGGGGAGGGAAGGGTGCAGGCGCAGATATCTCTATAGGCAGCCGTGGCGGGTTACGGACGGCTCGACAGCTTTTTGAACATATCATAGTGCAGTTGAAGTATTGTATATTGTTGCGCCTAATGTCGCCATTAATATCTCGACACGTTAAGTAAAGGGCGGCTTCTTTGAGCAGCAGCTATGCATGGATAATGGGATTTGTATTGCATGCTGCTGTCTGGCATGCAGAGCGCACAGCTTTAAGCGATGTATTGTAGACGTTGGGAATGTTCATTTCTGCTGATGCTGATTTAGAGGCTTTTATATGTACCTATGTCCTGGCATTGCATACAGTGGATGGTGCTTGTATGCCTTCTGGCCCGGCAACGGTCGAACTAAAAATACACCCGAAAGTGAGGCTCGTTTTTGCAATATGATGCATCTTCACACTTCCCACGCCCCGGAAATAGTCTAGTCTAGTCCATCTTATCCGTGTCGTCCTATTCCGCTGCACCAATGGCGCCCCGCGGCCGCGCTGCGCGGCCCGCTTCTAAAACCATCCGTCGCCGGCGGGCACCGCGGCGCCGTCCAGTATTCATGGCGAATGGATACGTCACAGACTCACAGCCACCGCAGAGGTGAAGTTGACGTCAGGGACGGCGGGGGAAATACCGGCGCTGACGGCAGCTATTGTGGGTGCATTTAAGATTGGTGTATTATCACAAGGATGCACGAAAACTCTGTGAATAGAAGGGCTAACAATAGCATACATATACAATCACATAGAGCGGGTTGTTACGATTTTTGATATTTTTATTTGGATGATATTTTGCTTAGATGTGTCGATATTGTCGCTGTTCTCACATACTTTTATGCGGTAATCTGAGACGTTAAAATACTTTTTGTTGACTCGTCTCTGCAACACCAACTCCGTCTCTGCGTCTCCGGTAAACTTTTTTGTATAAGATTGGCTAAATATCCAACTATTTATAGCACAAACACGGTACTCGACACGAATGCAGCCACGTTGTTTTAACGAGCCTTTGACCTGACATCAGGTGCTCTTCTTTCTCTGGGCACAGAGCGCATTCAGCAGGTGACCAGCCCTCAGTCCCAAAACAAGCGGAACCAAACGCTGGGTCTCGTTTTTTTTTGCCCTAAAGTTAGCCATTGTGATCAGGGAGTCGGTATGCTGCCACCATATTGGTGATTTTTCCAAGAACAAGGAATAATGAGCGCATAGGTCATTTTTCTGGTGAATAAGTGAACAAACTGAACGCCATTCAATACACGCAAAAAAAACATCCAACGTTCCAAGTGTTAACCACTGGAGGCCCCGGTAAGAGCAGGTCGACCGGTCGACCCGCCCCGTCGACCGGCGGCCGGTGCCGCTGCCGGTGTCGACGCCCGTCGGTCGGTGTCGGTGACGGCGCCGGGTCAGTGTGCGACCGTCGAGCCGTCAGCGACGGACTGTGGGACGCTCCGCACCGGCGCGGCGGCCGGCGCCGGGGCCATGTGAGCTGACGGCGGATAGACGCGGGGTGTGAGACTGGCGAGAGAGACGTGGCCTGGTCAGGGGTGAGACTACATTGAGACTGGCCACCGAAGAAACTCACGAAGAATGTGATCAGATTTTGGGAATAAGTGTGAACTGGCAATGAAAGAGAGTTGATCGTTACGGAGACGCGGATCTTGCTAAGAGACGTCGAGTCTGCATGGGAGACGAGAAACTGGAACAAGGCATGGACGTCTCGTGATTTTGGCATGAATGCTGGTGACGTGAGAGATAGCCGGCCACACAAGCTCAATTGATAGGGTAACTGTGGGGAAAACGCACCCCTGGGTTAAACGCCTCCCCTAGAAAAATCGTATTTCTTATCGACGGATAGGCGTTTTATCCTGTCTTTCAGAACAGTCAGCTGCTTGTTTACGTAGGTCTCTATTTCCGGTTCTGCGTCTTGAGGAGCAGCGTGGGTAGGTGCTGATGTTGGTTTTGGGTGTTGTTTTTGTTGTTTTTACAGAAGATTCCTAAGATTTTGATGCCCTCTTTATATCACAAAATTTGCTATTGTGCACATCACTAAAAACTGCGTTTTATTGCCATTCTGTTGAATTTATTATGCTACGGCGTTAGTGGCGCGTTTTTTGTCAATATTTTGTTGACCGGAAATGGAGTGGATGGGGAAAGACGCCTCCTCGATGCATGGGGCAAGACGCCCCCAGTTTTCTGAAAGGGGGGCGTTTTGCACGGTGGTGAGAGTGCAGGGTAGCGCCCTGTAGGTGGGTGCCGAAAAGGCCTCTCCCCGTCCTTTTTTGCTGATATATCCTAAACGACTGCAGATATCGTCACCAAACTTTCAGGACTCCTCCGGGCATCCATTTTACACATTGCAACAAAATTTTATTCCAAAGGCTATGATAGGTTGACCACAAATGACGTCAGAATGACGTCAAGTTCTGCCATGTTCATCATTTTCTGTTGCTGGATGGGGTGGGGGCGCTTTGCACATGGGTGTGGGCGTATTACCCAGGGTGTGGGGCAAAACGCCCTTTTGTAAGGGTATGCGAAAACCTTTTTGGGGGGTTAAATACCACACGCAGGTGTCTTTTCTTGGTCTCAAAGCGTAGTAAAAAGAATGAGCTACATGATGGTGCCCAAAGGTTTGAGTAATCTGTGTTGGGTTGAGTGTCAGAAGGTTTCGCGCTTAATGGGGGCGTTTTTGACCTATTCACCCTAATACTGATGTGGCTAGTCTAAATCGAATATATTCGCTCTAAGAAGCACTGGACACAAGTAAATTCAAATATCCAAGCCATCCCTGCCATTCGCTGCCACGCCACAACCATCTTCCTCGATCTACAACGACTTGCAAGCGGTGAGCTTGGCTTGAAAGGTGCTCATTCCAGCTCACTTAGGCAGGTATAGGACGTTATGTGTTGCCCATGTGTGCGATTAACATTGACTTTGTGGATATCCGTCATTAGGGTTAGAAATCTCTCCCAAGCTTAGGATGACCACAATCAGGTTTGGCTTCATAGACGGTTCACTCAAAGGCTAGGCTGCCGGTGCAGCCTACCCGTCAGGCGTAGGACGCTAGCGACATCTAGCGATGGAAGCGTGACGTAAGGCGAGCTTTGCGGAACAGACTACCACTCCAGGCGCTTCATGGTAGTGACATCTAGCGCTCATATTTTGTTTCGGTACCGAGTAAACGCTGCGGGCGTTTGCTTGACTTCGCATTATTTTACAGTGATAAATTCAAGCAGGCTCCGCGATCACTTGACAGGTGAGCGAGCATGCTTACTAGATAGTAGATACTTGGACTTGCAGCACAGTTTGCTGGCTATTTCACTTCAATGAAATGACGGATTACATCTGACAGCATCGGTGCCGGTCAATGATTTTACTCCCATATGTATTAATCAATCAATTGGAATGTCACAATGAACAAAGATTACATAAAGAATATCGATAAATGCCTCAAGTGCCATACACCTTGTAGGTAGCCTGTGCTGGTAGCCTACACCTCTATGAAAAAATGTCTCTGGAAGCCTACAAGAAGAAATATAAAACCTACAGGCAGTATTGCAAGTTATCAGTTACTGCACTAGTCAATAGCTATTGCTCGTCCCACGACAAATTGTGATGCTCGTCGGCCGAATCGAGGACGGTGCGCTGTTACTAACAGTGCTCACCTGATTCCCTCACGTACGACGCCCCCAGCGAGACGGGTCGCTGCCCCCTGAGTGGCTCATTAGGGGAATGTCCGAGACCGGTGCTGGACAGTGGACACGGGCCGTGATGCACACACGATTTGGTCCGCCCAGCAACAGAGACGCCCGAGTCCGATACTGGCGCCAGTGACCTGTGGTCCTACAGCGGCGTCACTGTTCCTCAATCAGCAGGCCAGAGATGGCATTAATTACGTTGGAAGATGTATAAAAGAAAAAGAAATGCGTAGCTTATGGTCATCCTTATATCTCATTATAGCAGCCCGGTTTTCCTCTGTTAAAAGTAGTGGATAAAACGTCCATCGTCGGTAACTCGGGCCAGTGAGGGGGCCACGCTAGACCCGGGAGAACCATGCCGCCATCTCAATGCGGTACGTTAAACTTTCTATTAACAAATTATCACCTGTGATCCCGCCGCGGCCAGGGCCGAGTGTTGGGTCCGTGGTGCCATTCGCATCAGGCACTGCTTAGCGAGGCACTCGGACCCACAGCATGCCCGCAAAATTATTATTGCTATTTTTTCTTGTTGTCCATCTATATTTGATTGTCTAGACGTCCCGTATGAATAAATGAAAGGTTTCCTCATTGCAACTTTCATCACTCACAATGCCAGTATATCGGGAATACACGCACGGAATCGCTCAGGAACTTTGCTATGGTGTTTCTCATACTCTAATGACTTACGAATTGTAGTATGTGCATGCCTAATAGGTTATTATTAGCCGCAGCATGTATGTTTTATTTGCATGCTTCCAGTAAGGGCTGCCCGTATCGATTGTATGCCAGTTGCGATGGTTCTGTGTGTCCATGAACATAGAGATCTTATAATATTATAATTATATTATAAGATTATAAGATCTCTATGTTATATTATAAGATCTCTATGTCCATGAAGGCCTTGACGAGGGGAAATCTCCGACACTGTCATAATTGAACGAAAAAAAAATAAACAAAGAAAAAGATCGATCATCGACATGCAAATGCAATGGATAGACTGGAGCTGCACTTTTTACATAGATGCTACGTGTTGTAGGTACCTATGATTATTTGTTCAATACTAGGAAAAAAGTATTTGATGTGTCCAATTTTTAAAAGAAAACATTGGCATTCCTTTACTTTCACAAAATAACTAGTATCGTTCATTCTTTTCGTGAAAGTTGAATTGATTTGACAATGTTCTATTGATGCACGGCATATTTATATTTTCCAAGCCCTACTCTATATCACTCACCAGTCACCGGTAAGCTGTATCTATCTGATTCTTGAATGTGTTGCACATACTCGTATGCGATACGACATTCTCGAGCAAGGTTTATTCTGCGGGTGCAGGTAGGGGAGAGTGGGGCTATCTGTTACAGGGGCAAGTTGTTACAAAGCACTATATCTTTAAAAATACTCTTGATATGGCGCCAATATTTACGCTAGCAGAAAGGTTAAGCACATTTTACATGTCACTGCAGGCTCAGACCTGGTGGAACACCATGTCGCCCTGTAGGCGCACTGGGGTAAGTTGTGACAGCAAAAGTATTTTTTGCTGGTCAACACTTTGGGTCGATTTTTGTCAAGGTTATTTGTGTAAGAATGTTGAATGTATGTTCACAAAATTGAGCGATGATTTCTTTTGTAAGATTACCAAGTGAAAATCACTAGCCTTTTCATGTAAACCAACATTTGAGTTCAGTCTTGTGAAAGCCGGCCGCCGCAGGGCTGGGGCATGTTTAAAGATGACTGCCCAAGACTGCTTATAGCGTGCTCCATTTCACCTGGGCGTAAATTTTATGCAGAAAATCAACCTCCGGTCAGTATGGCAATGCGTGGTGCCCTTGGTGTCGCGGTAAAGGCAAATAAGAGATTGAGCCATGTTTGATGAGCCTTTTCATGCGTGTGAAGTACAGTAATGGTTTATGCTTTACTGTTCTTGCCTTTCAATAAGAAAGGAAAGCATGTTTAGTATTATCCATAAGGGAGGCTTACGATCGGTTCCGATAGGACGGCTAATAACAGTTATAATGATGAAGACACTACGAAAAAGAAGTGCAACATGTTACCCCATATCGTGTATCAAGTTGCCCCACAATTTTTCAACTTACCCCAAAAATCTTCTTTGGTTTTCTGCCTTTCACATAAAAGTGATTAGTTGTAAAGAAGTGAAAGTTTGCATGTGCTTTCCAAATTGATTTAGCTAGCATGTGACCAAATTTGGTACAATTTCATTGGATAGCTTGGCCACTAAGTGCAGAAGACCAAAAAGTGTAACGCATAGCCCCACTCTCCCCTACTTATGATGCCGTATGATCGGAACGACCTTAATGTGGTCGTGTTCGGTCATAGTGCCACCAGTGAGCTCCCCTCTCACCACTCCACCGTCCATGACACGTACCCTGTCCTGTTCCGTTTCCAGTGTGAGCTGCCTCTGCTCGGTCGCCTCTGTCCAACAGTCGGGCCGTTACCACTTTCACGCTGCATTGGTCGATATTACCCGTACATGCATTCACGAGCTGGGCAATGTGACCCGGGCACGGCCGGCGGCCCGTTCATAGCCCAGCAATGTCACGGCTGCACAGCGCCGGCCGCTCCGCCACGGAGCGGCAGGTCGAGTTGTCACGGAAGTCACGTGTACGGTGCACGACTCCCGCTCCGCTCGGCTGCCGGGTCACGGTGCAGCGCCACCGTGGCTGATGAACCCCACAGGGTCTGTGCCGAGGGACTGGTCGCCTCTGACAGATATCGCCATATCGCTAATTAAGTGTAGTTCGAGCCCAGGCTTGTGACGTTTATGGAGATGGACTATTTGTGGCGTGCAGAGAGCAGCCCGGGAATAAAATAGGAGTAAAGCTAGGCAGACGGCGAATGTTGTGACGGACATTGGTATCCATCGACAGCCATAACCTGCATTTGACATTTCTCATTTCCTTTTTCAATTCAAAAAATTTGAGCATTTTTTTTTTACTTTCATACCTTGCGTGATAATCAAACATGGCTGTTTCAGCCTACGCCAGCTCCTGAAAGTGTCCACGTCGCATTTTTTTTCTTTCATACAAGTGTTGCAAGTCTTCGCAGCCCGTGCTCAATTCTCATGCATCCATGCGTTCGGCTCATCAACCACGAAAGCGAGCAGGCTGTACTACCCTAAATCACAAAGTTCCCACCTTAGGTCAGCACTTTGCCAAATGATAAGCTGAAACATTGTTCACGAAACAGGCTACGCTGCCGGTCTCCTTGCGACGTTAAATATCACGACATCGCGATAGGGCATCTGTATTATTATTCACATATTTATTGCCAAGCATTCCTTACATTTTATTCTTCTTTCCTCTTTCTGGAACTAGAAGAGGGGATGAGAAAAAAACGCTAAATGTCCCGGTGGTCCTAATCATTCTGTGCAGCACCCATCTGCAATGCGGCCATTATAATGCGCTGTAAAATGCTGCATTTTATGACGATTCACATAAAATCTTTATTGAATGGGTCTATTGAGGGCCGAAATACGCTTATAATCCTGCCACTAAAACACTTTTTGGAAACGGCCGGCACTGAAGGAAACTGTAGAGTACGGGAAATGAGCGTGCGACTTTAAAATATTGTAGTCTTCTACCTTGCAATCAGAATGCAAAGGCAACGTTTCACTCAGGCATCGTCCTGTAGTCCAGGCCCCAACGTCACCTAGCCCTCTGCGCCAGGCGCCGTGGCGTCGAACGGTACCAGGTAAACCCACTGATGTCTCAATAAATCAGGAACTTCTCGCCAAAACGGCACGTGATCGGCCACCGTTTAGCTAGTCGAAATGAAAGAATGTGACTCAAGTTGTCGCCAAAATGGACCGACCTCGGTTGGGTGGGTCGGACGCCGGTTTATTGTTGGCCCATCAGGGGCCCCCGCTGCCGCGGCAGGCACAGCCATGGGCGATCGATTTGGACGAAATCGCTGGCGACTTACATGCCAGCCAATCGTTTGTAGAGGAGCAGTGTCAGGCGTGACCACCCACACTGGACCAACCCAAAATGTGCGGAGATCACAAGCATGACTGTACGGTTCAGTTTGTAAGGCAAAAACATACCTATAGTCATGAGCAATCTCTTTTTACTGCAGGAAAATCGTCAATTGAATGAAGTGCTTCGTATATGAAAAAGAACATGCAATACAAAAATGACAAAAGCATATTTAGATGTGCTTGATAGGTAAATGATAAATGTTGTATCGGCTTCCAAATGTTCCCTGAAACTTGTTTTAACAGGTAGTCTCTTCCCGTCAGATCCCTGATGTGTGTCGCAGTGGAAGCGCTTGTTTGACCGAGCAATTATAGGACCAACAGTTTCTAAAAGGCGCTTATGGCAGCCACGTGGATATAAAACCTGATCGATGAGATTGAAACGGCCGAAAATTTGCCGATCGCATGCGGCTTTAGTGTTTTCCACAAGGTCAGTCGGGGTATAAATATGGCCCGCGCGGGGCAAAGGGGCGGTGTGAGTTTCAGAAAATAGCGCGGCTGGGCCGGCGGGACTATCGGCGCTCTGGCACGGCGTGACAGCGGCGCTAATCTGGACAGCGGTGAGCATCTCCCAACGGCCGATAGGCATGCAAAGGTCGGCCCGGCGGTGCGTGGCCGCCGCCCACGGGCCGCCGGCGACGCCGATTGACGCTGGCCGTCCTGATCGGCCGCCCAATGGCGACAGCCGGCGCCAATTAAATGCGTATTTTGGGACACATCTATCTATCGCGGGAGGTATAAATTTCATGGAAGTGGGAAATTATTCTAACAGTTGAGTGCCATCACCTGATTTTATGCAGCCTGATTTCGGGCTTATGGTGGCGTTTGTCAGTCAGTGCACGCTTAGGTTCAGGTGAGGTGCAATTCAATTTATCGATCCGAAAAGTGTGAAACAAGTAAGTTCTCTTCTACGCCCACCACGGGAAATCTCGGGTTATCGAGGTAAACGAGGTTATTCATTAGTTGAAAATGTGTCATGAATATGTTCCAAAACAATATACCTAATATTTTTTTATTGAACAGTTCCAAAGTGAGTTATAGAGATGGACATATACCGCAATAGCAAAAGCCCAACTTGAATTTCAAGCTACTCTAAAAGACGGATATATTTCATAAACTGTATGTCCTCACTCCTAACATTTTTTTCTTTCGAAGGGGAGTAGTTTTCTAAAAGAAACCCTTCAACTTAATGAGCTTGAAAAATGGATGGTTAAGAAATTGACCTTCAACTCATCACTGCATGCTGCGACCTCTGCAAAGTCGGCGCTAAGCGACATAAGTTAGGCCGTTTACGCCTCGGGTCGCGTCAGCGCCTGTCTGGAATAGTCACGGAGCTGTCCATTCATTAGCTTTCCTCTCACGGACTGGGGAGACTCAGCTGTCGTGGAGAGGGACACTATTGACAACGCTGCAGACCACAAGCCACCCAACGGCCACCCACAAATTATCCGCGCCACAATAACTGTTGTTATTAGCCGGCCGTTCGAATCGTGAGGGCAATATTGTGCGGAACATATCCGATATTAAAAAGACCTGTCTAATCTTGCATCCGCTGAATCTTTTAATAACACTAGCATAGATAACAGTAGAACAGTAGAACAGTTCTACTGTTATCTATGTAATAAGCAATTTGCTAAGACGAAGAGCGACGTGGTGACGTGATATCCCAGTGTAGCCTAGTCCATTATGTTGATGCATGTTCATGGTTGATTATAGGTAAGATAGCAAAACAACTGTTCTGTATTCTGTCTCCTGCCCGACATCCGATATTTAATACCATGGGAACGTTTTTAACTGCTTTGCCAGACCACGTCAGTCCCGACTCGCCCTATTCCACCAGTGACGCTCCGTTCTCTCGGCAGGTCTGGAGCCCGGCTGTGACCTCTCTCCATGTATATCCCTCTGAACGGCTCGGCGGCCGGTGCCGAGCCACCGACAGCGGTCGGCTGCCGCGGCTGGCCGGCCGTCCACCACCGGCTCTTCCAACTGGCGCACCTGTTCTTTCTGGCGGCGTTTGTGGTGCCGCATACGTTCCGTCTGAGCGCGGCTGCGCTGCGAGCGCTCCTCTGTGCCGGTCTGACGCTGGTCGCTGTCTGGGCCGGCGCTGTAGTCTGCGCGCCGGACGCGCTCGCCTGGAGCGTGGCACTGGCGGTCGTGAACGCGGCGTACGCGGCGCGCCAGGTGTCGTGTTCGCGACCGGAGCGGGCGCCGGCGCAGCTGCGGCCGCTGCACCGGCGCCTGTTTGCGCCGCTGCGCGTACCGGCCGCCGAGTTCGCGCGACTGGTGCGCGGCGCCGAGCTGCGCCGTCTGGCGCGTGGCGAGCTGTTCGCGGCTGAGGGCGTGACCCGGACCGGAGGCCGACTGGCCATCCTGCTAACCGGAGAGTGAGTGTGACCACAACCGGATCTGGCAGAGCCAGGTTGGAGAGTTTGGTTGGGAGGGCTTGCTGCTACGTCGTTATCTCGCATGTACGCAAATTATGCTACAAATGTTCCCCCTAATCTAGCACTAATGTCCGGACTAAAGACGATGTGTAACATAATACCGAACTCCTTTTTGGTTTCTGTGCCAGATGGGAACGTTCTCTCCATTGAGTAGTGCTCTCCCAGTGCGCCCTACCATCACTTGTGTAACCACTTCCGGTTTCTGCTCCGGCTCTTTTAGATTGGTGGTGTCGTGTGAAGGGTGTCCGCTGCATCGAATCACGCCGCACCAGTTCATCAACTCGCCCGAGTGGGAGGCCGACGAGGCGGCCGAGAGGGACTCCAAGGAGATGGGCGCAGAACAGAACTGCAAGCCGCCCGACCCGAACCCCATCTACCAGGTAAGGGCTCGGCGAACGGGGTAGGAGGGTGAGAGTGGTGCGAGCAAAGCTACCGTGCAAAGCTACTTTGGACGCAACCCTTTGTGTCTGGGGAACCTGGGGATTGAGTCATAGATGAAGCGGCATCGTATACGGCCGAGAAGTTGTCGTTTGTCAGAGTGTTGTGCGAGAACATGACCACTGACCAGCTCCCTGGCCATGTTCTGCTGCTCTTCTGTTATAGTTGCAGCTCCCCGTTCATGGGTTCATGTGGTGCCCCTTGTTTGAAGTAGCAGCTTTCCTATCACATTCTGATCCTTGCCTACCAGTATAGCCGTTCCCCGTCTCTCCACTCGCCCCGACAAGCAGCGCCCTGAGGAGTTCACGCGCTGCCCCGCCCCGGCATGCGCTGCTCACGGTTTCACAGTAGGCACGTCCACCAGGTATCGATTTCGGCCACTGAGGAGTCGACGTACGTGGTATGGACGGCCGAGGTGCTCGGCGCCGTGCTTCAGTCCAATGCCTTCCTCAACGCCGTGCTATTTAACCTGGTCGGTGAGTTTCACAGCGGGGCCGAATGGCTGGTATGCATACTGGATGTGTAATGGCGTCCGTCAGGAATGAGGGTGAAAAAGAGCAGATGTGCCCGTGCTGTATACGTGCAACAACGTTACGTTTAATCGTTTTATTAATTTGTGAGATAAAATTCAGAGCAATAAATGAAAAACAATTACCTTAGCAACAGAATGTTTGTTTTGTCCTTATATATGGACAACTGATAAAATAAAATTATCAGATTCTCTAACATTAACCCGCGCCCTGCTGGGGGGTGTTTGAACACCCCCCCTTGTGGTTTTTCGCGAATATCTCAACGCGGAGCGCCGCCGTTTTTGGTACACCTTATCGTACATCAATTCTACACATGTTGTTAAAATTTCAGACCAAGGTCATTCAAGGTCAGGTCACCAGGTCACTTGAAGTGACCTCACCTCATAAAAAGTTTCAATGTCTGTCATAGCTACATCGAGTGACCGATCGCTTTGAAACTTTCAGCGATTGCTAAGAGCAATAGCATGTACAAAATGTATATCTCAGAATTTTGATATCGATGACCTAAGGTCAGGTCAATTTTGCGACCTCCCCATTATAAGTCAATGGGAGAAAATTGAAATGCGCCTCTTTTGGACAAAAGACATTATAAACACTCCCAAACACCGAATTACAAGTGGTTCAGACACACTGAACATGAAAATGGTGTCAGTGTTGTGTATGCCCAATTGTGTATGCCCTGAGGTCATCTTAGGTCGCGAATGGTATCTAACAGTTTTTCGCAAATAACTTTTGATAGAGGCATGCTAGAGCGATGAAAACGCCTTAGATGTGTTCCGCTTGACGATACGGATCGACTGATATGCAACATGACTCTTTCCGGTCAGGTCATGACCTTGACCTGAGGTCAAATTTTCAAATTGACCTTTCAAGGTCAACTTATAGTTCATTCGATGCGTCTTGACGAGAGGAACACAATGCCGGTAAAAGTTAGCTCGTACAAGGCTTGAGTCAAAAGTTATTGCAGAAAAACTGTTTCCGAAAAAATCGGCTATTTTTGCAATTTTTGCCCCCTGCAGGCAAAACCGTTGACGTTAGGTCAAATCTGAGAGAATTACTCAGAAAGGGCTTTAATAGGGCTATCGAATGCTTTTTTCCGCGGCGCTGTAACTCTATTGGTTCTCGAGTTATGCATTGGCTTCTTGGAAATTTTCGACATTCGACCTGGAAATCGGCGAAATTTTGCCTTCAATGACCTCTGGTGACCTGACCTTTGACCTGACCAAAAAATTGACCGAAGTGATTTCGTCATTATTTTTGACGCTCTTTCGAACGCCGCCTTTCGCGTATCGCTACGTGGCCCAGGAGCCGAGTTACAAGGGGGGGTGTTCAAACACCCCCCCCCCCCCCAGCAGGGCGTGGAAATCCAGGACCCCCAGCCGGGCGCGGGTTAAAACGCATCGTACAATATCTACAACCACAATAAATCTGTAAGGAGTAGGTATTGCGTTGAACGTGAGCTCCTTCCAGTGAGCTTACAGGCACTAAAAGCAGACATTCATGACACGTGTTTTCGATGTTTACCATTGCCACCGAGTCACGCTACAAGTCATTCGTGTTGTCTGATGGAAATACGATACGAGTTACAAAAAAGCTGTCCTCGTCACCTTGAGTAGGTATCACGTAACAACGGACACAGCGAGAAAAACAAGCGGGAGTCGTTGCTTGAGCTATGTTTACAGATCATACGTAACAAGCAAAATGGTTAGTTAACGACTGTCTTGCATTTGATAGCTCATGCATAATGCATCTGTGATATGTCTGCAAATCCCGCATACCATCATCAAAAACGGCCTACAGCCACACGTAGGTAACTGCTCCTGTCCAATCAATGCGGGTCCGTTTCACGGGATCACTCTCCCCAGGTAAGGACATCACCAAGAAGCTGTACCGGGTGAACGAAACGGCGCGCTGCAGCCTGCGGGCGGTGCGCCGGCCGCCGGCGCTGGTCCGGCGCCGCAGCGAGGAGCCGCCGCCGGTCGAGCGGCGCCCGGCCGTGGCCACACACCGGCGGCGCAGCCTGGGCCCGCCGCCGCGGCGGACCGAGCTGATCAGCCCCGCCTCGGAGCTGGCGCTGCTCCGGTGGCAGACGGAGCAGCGGCCGCTCTCGGCCGGCGCCCGCTCCGACACGCAGGGTGAGCGCTGCTGCCGTCCCCTGCCGTACCCCCTCACCGTCTGTATGCTCCGCCTCACCTCAACCAGCCCCAGCTCGGTATATGACCTTCAACATGCATTTTTCACCGTCCTACGGTCTGAGGCTCAAAGTAAATGTATGCTGTTACGAAGACTATAACAGTTTATTATTTAGGATAATTAGTTGAAACATCATTACGTTGCTTTTAATGACGTCAGTTGGATTAATGGCTTGTAAAACATGCGAAATATATTTTCAATTACCAACTTTATTGCTGTAAACGATGATAAATTCTAGCAGCTTTAGCTACTTATCCATTCCGGCAAAAATGTCATCCTGAAGCAGCATACTCGTGTGTGAAAATGTACTGCAGCATTTGTCGAATTCGACTGCAGCTATTTCGTTGGATGTAAACGCCTGAGCTGTAATGTAGATTTTGAAAAGCGAAACTCATCTTTTTAGATACATTTATAAGACGACATGCGATGCAACTGCACCGCCATAATGTATATGTGCAGTGTGCATTGTACAGCCCTCAGCAGACTGCGTGGTAGGTATTCTTTTTTTTTTCGTTATTACCGATAATAACTCAAAGGCTATGCTATCAATCGGTCGGAACTCACTGCAGATAGATGCGCCATGCTCCACTCCTTCGATTAGGTCTATCACTAAACAGTGTATGCGCCTTGTGTGGCAACAAAATGCAAAAGTTTATTTTGGGGGCAAATATAAACTTTTGGGATTTGTTGCCAAAATGGATGGAAAATGAGTACGATGATTATGCCAATCTAAGGTGCGGAGTCTCGCGCGTCTTGCTGGTACGATTTCCAAATGACCGATTGCATGGTATTCGCCTTATTCTCGGTTTTATCGAAAAAAGAATACCTACCACGCAGTTTGCGGAGGGCTGTACCTACACCTCCAAGTCACTGTATATAAGTGGCTCGTTATGTATGAACTGCACCATCGGCTGCTCACAGTGCTTACTGCTTACATTCAGTGTGAGGTCATGGGGTCGTGACTTGAGCTCGCCTGTCGCTAGCTGGCCACTATTCCTGACAGGGGGACATATAAGGCCAGTGAGCGGCCCCGCTACACGAGTCCGGGACTGGGGGACGGGGAAGGGAGGGGCAGTAACCTTCGCCGGCAAACGGTAATGACAGAGCCGCGTGCGACTGACCAACAGCGCAACAGAAGGAACCCAGAGCTTGGGGCTGCTGTAAGCTCCTTTTGCACGGTTGATTGGAAAGCGGAGAGAAGAGACGTGCCTAGAAACAGGTAGTAGATACCATAACACTTGGTATCTATGTTTTTATATCGTTTGGCCTGAAAAGTATTGCTCATTACCCATTACTACTCCGATGAAGTTCGGTAGGTGAAGTCAACCATTAGGGAAGTCAGCTCATCCATTGGTCTTCAAATAGCGCGTGCAATGGCGACGGCCCTTTTCACAGCTATTTCGCGTTCGCTTTAGGACATTTAATAACCAAATGTAAAAAGGTACCTCTTCGCGACCCATAAACTATGTGCAATGGCGCGTGGTTTTATCGCGTGAAAGCGTTTCTGGAACTAAAGACGCGCGGTCTGTTTCCGCGTAATGGTAAAGCCACCGATCTGAACCGGCTGGCACGCTGTGTTGAGTTTAACTGCCCGTTGTGGGGAAGTTTTTCGGACCGTTGCGCCAACCTCAGCTCAGTGACCCGGTCTCTGCCGTCGTTATGGCCAATGCTGTTATTATGTCTGCTCATTATTGGAGATGGCTTGGCACGCGACCGTCCGCGATACATGCCATCAATACGATAATGCTGCCCACAGACAGACAGACAGACGGACACACGGACAGACGGACAGACGGACAGACGGACAGACGGACAGACGGACAGACGGACAGACGGACAGACGGACAGACGGACAGACGGACAGACGGACAGACGGACAGGCGGACAGACAGACGATGGACGCCGATAGACGGACAGACATACACGGACAGGCGGACAGACACATGGGTAGACGGACAAGTGGACATGCGGACAGACGGACAGATGGATAGACGGATAGACGGACAGACGGACAGACGGATAGACGGGCAGACAAGCAGACAGACGATATCTTCTTCTAACCAAATAGTGGCAGCTCAAGCTGCATGAATGACTTAGTTCACATGGGTATAGTTGGATAGTGACATGCTGCTTTCAGCAATGGCTACTTTTGCTTTTTGATCATTAGCAATCTTTCCCCATCCATTTTCTTTTTTGTTGCTGTTTTCGCTTTGTTTTATTTTCATTGCTGAGAGTGCCGCGACTTTCTTCTTTCTTTTTGTCTTCTGTAAACGTTTGCCACTTTGAGTTGCTGAGCTGAAGGGTGGACGCACCCCTGGTCTCCTTTTCATGGATTGCAGTAAATAAAGAAGGCGTTGGGTCGTTGCGCAGGACGGGCCGGCTGCGGGCCACTGTTCGGCCTCAGTTTACCACTTAGCGGACGCCGTGAACGGCGGCAGCCGCCCTGCAGTTGCTCGTTGGAATGTCAGCGGTCGATTGGCCACCAGCGCGGCGGCAGCCACTCGGCGAAACCAGCTGTCCCGCGAACCGTCAGGATGGGCGCCCGCCCGCCGAATGTTACAGTCCTAACGGAAATACTGTCCCGATATATGCATAGGTTTTCAGTCAGTCTGAGTTGATTATACGAATGCATTGAACGGCACAGCTTTATAAATCAAGTGTGGCCTGGGAGAAAAGCGACTTAGCTGATGATAGGACCAGGGAGGCACTTTCTGACACTGCTGTACGTACGGCGTTACAGGTGTGAGGGGCTCCTCTCGCAGTGCAATGTTCGGCGTAATTCGAACAACCTAGGAGCTACAATGACCTCTTGCTATTGGTAACAGCATTGAGTATGCAATGCGTCATCAATCTAATTATAGTGCCTACTTACAATGTAATATTTTCTACCGAAGTGGGCGAATAGTGTAATTGCGCCTAACACCTGTCTATGCTGATTTGATTTTGAGCTAGTGGAGCTAGGTATTAGTTTAGCTAGCGACATTTTTAAATGTACTCGACGCTGGTGCTACCAGCTTGGGTCGGATAACTTTTCTGTATTCAATGCCTATTCATGCTTGATATTGTTGGGTATGCCTACGTTTATTTTTCTTTGCAAATAATAATCCAAACGGCGGAAAAATCGCAGAAATATTGATGTAGCTAATAGTCTTATAACAATGCCTAATATTTTTACAGTACCTAATCTATATATGTTTATAGTTTGCGGTAAATGACAAAATAGTGCGTAAAGCGCCATTGGCATGAGTGCTGTTTGCGGAACACAGTTGTCAGTCTTGCATATCCGGATAACTTTAAGATCGATGAAGTCTCAGGACCACATAACATAACCTTCAAATAACTATGTCTACCTAACGGCGTAGGTACTTAAAGGCACGGTACCTACGAGTATATGTACCATGCAGCCTGCAGGTTTAAGGCCATGGGTGGAGAATGTTTGAAAAAGTTACCCCGGCCGGCGACCGATAGTCGCGGGAAGACAATATACTCACGTTGTTCTTAACGGTCATCATCAAACCCCTATTCTGACGCATGGAATAGGATGCTGTGTTTGCTCAAGGATGAGCGTTGTATCCGACACCGTATTATTCATAACATTTTTGGAATGATCGAAAAGGCAATTTCCTTTTAAATTATTATTTCTTTTTACTTAAACTTCCAATTTCACACCGAACCCAAACCAAACCATATGCCATTTTGAGTACCTAAATGTTGCGTTTTCAGCTTTTTATTGTGTCTCAAAATAGCTACAAAAAGACAACTCACCGTAGTAGAAGCTTTACAGAGAAATTGACTGATCGAACCAAGCAAAGCACTTAAATAGGTCACTGACATCCACGGGCGTAGCCTTTTTCAATGTTGGGCGGCTCTTATAATACAAACAGGGAGTCGATCCAGGAATATCGACCGGTCCCGGTCTCGTAGCTCAGTTGCTAGAGCGTTGGATTCCGCGTGGCGAGAGCACGCGGCCCGGTTACAACAGTCCGAGTTCGAAGCATGATGGCCGCTCGGTGTTTATGAGCACCCTGACGGGTACGCTCATAAACGGGTGTGGTTGCGGTTGGTGGCAGGTCAGTTGAAGGCAATGAGGTCAAGCAGTAGTTTTGAAAAAGTGCGCCGAAGGCGCGCCAAAATTTCGAAACTGAACAGGATGTGAGAGCAATCTTGGCATTGCAGGCGACCACACGCGGGTCTGAGGGTTGGAGATTATGGCAAGTTAAGTAAATGGTAAATACCTACCTGATTTGCAATATTACGCCCATGGAAGTCAGCATTCGAAGAGCGTGAGTTTTCTTTTCTCGTATGGAGACAGCTTTTAGGATTTACAAGAGTAGAAAAGTTACCCCGGCCGCGCCGGGGTAGGCTGAAAGTTACCCCGGCCACGGCCGGGGTGGCCGGGGCAGGTTCTCCACCCATGTTTAAGGCTCAGAACTCCTCGCTTTTTAAGCGGATCTCATAGAGCTCTGACGGGAACAGTATGATGGAGAGCTGCATTTTTTAACAGCTCAGCGCACCTCTCCTGATATGCATCATGTTGATGATATTCTGTGTCTGCCCCTGCCAGCAGTGCTCTGCCCCGGACGACTGCTGGGCTCGCGGCTTCCTCCAATGACGTACAGGCGACCGGCAGCACCGCACCGCATCCACCCGGCGGAGGGAAATGTCATTAAAAGTGCACCGTTCGCCCCAGAGGTGGCAGCACGGTACAATCTGTGGACTCCGGCTATGAACGGCGACTGCAGGCCGATGCGTGGAAAGGCGTGAGGGTCTGGGCCTTGTGACCTACTTGGACCTACCGGGGCCCAGTGAACATTGCCTCGGGGTTATGCGTTTATGGCTCTGTGAATTTAGATCGGAGAGAGAAGAAGATTTAACATCTTCACTGGATCTTTGGGATTTGCTGTCTTTCTGCGGCTTTATTTTGCTGAATTTGGCACTACTGACCCGAAAAGAGTTTTGTGCATGTCCTTGCATTTCAATCACATTAGCTTCCAGCATCTCATTCACAGGGGCGAATGAGATCGGTCGCGAATTTTACTGAAACGAGATGTTCAGCATGTGCAATTGCGTCCATCATCGACTTAGCATCCGGTGTCAATGTGGCAATTGCAGACAAAAGTTTGTATTTGAGCTAAATAAGCACTCATATTGTGGTCTGCAATTGCATATCTTCACAAATCGGCTGCTTCCAAACAAATCATAAATGCTCAGCTGCCATTACCGCGTATGATCGTGCTAATATGCAATCGTGGAACCTAATGGAACAGCTGTAGGCCTGTGAACAGATGGTTATCCCGCACCGGACCGGTGCTCGACCCAACCGCGCCGGGCCGAGGGGGTGGGCTGTCTGAGCACCCCCAACCTAGCTCGGCTCCTCAGCTACGTAGCAACACGCAGTAGGTAAGCGGTGCTCCGAAGAACGTCAGAAATTATGGAGACAATACTTAGGCCGATTTTTATGTCAGGTCAACAGCAAGGGCAGCAGAGGTCAACAGAGCATAGTTAAGGCATAGCTTTTGCATAGTTAAACAATTATTCTTTTTTACAAATCGGCGCACAACTCAGTAAAGAATAGAGCTAAAGGCTGCGATAAAGGTGATTTGATATCTCTTTCAACGTTCTGTCTTTTAACTGCCCTCAGATTTGATCTCACATCAACAGTTTAGTTACAAAATGGCAAAAACTCTTAGATTGATGCGTTTACGGAAATATTTTCTGCATTAGCTTTTAACACAGCTTTCACGACATTTATTTTACCGGCATCGTGTTTCTCTGATAGGACGCTTCTAAGACACTATAATTCGACCTGAAATGGTGATTTTGAAAATTTGACCTAAGGTCCTGGTCCTGACTTGACCGAAAGTGGTTACGTATCAGGGGATTCGTGTCCGTAATCTGAACAAATGCAAGGTGTTTTCGTAACTCTAACATGTCGACGGATCAAAACAATATTGTTAAAAGCTGTTGGAGACCTTTCATGACCTGAGCTGACCTTGGGAGCATAAAATGCCATTTTCCGATTCATTGAACCATTTTTACTTGTTACCTGATATTCGAGAGTGTTAAGTCCGTCTTTTGTCAAAAAGAAGCGACGGTTAATTTTCTCCCATATGACTGATAACGGGGAAGTAACAAACCTGACCTGCCCTTACGTCAAGTCTATCGAAGTTCCGAAGCAAAGGTTTAATATATACTGGTTCTTTCATTAATCCCTGAAAGCGATCGGTCATGGCGAGCATTATAACTGTCTCTGATGTAAGGTCACTTGACAGTTGACGTGACCTAGTGACCTGACCTTGAGTGGCCTGGGTCTGAAATTTTCACAACATGTGCAGGAGAGATGCTTGAAAAGGTGTTCCAAAGCGCCACATTTTATGAGACATATGCGATAAAACTGCTAGGGTGTTCAAACCGCCACCCCCGGCCCAGCGTAGGTTATTGTAGGGAAGTAGGTAAACATTAGCGGCACAAAACCTAAGAGTCTTTTTGTTGTGATGTCTAAATTTAAGTAGAACGGGCACATCATGCTTACATGTATTGAAACATGCAAAATGTCCACATGACACTATAAAATAGTACGAAACGCTCTAGACATTGCGCTTAGTGATCGCCCATTGTGCCTCATGTTTTGTATAGGTAGTGCGATATGTGATAGATCATTCATATCAACAGTGTCTTGATCTTGAAACATTGAGCAGAATGCTTTGTAGTGAAGGTGATATGTGTATGACCGTGCCTTGTTTGCATTCCCTAGAAAAGCAGGCGTAATAATTGTCATGCACGACTCGATTTGTCGATGTGTCTGCGCTTTACCGTTATTCAATTGTGGAAAGTGAAAGTGAAATATCTCAACTGTTATCTCGTTTTCGCTTCCTTCGCTTTATTAGGAAGGCCATTCAGTATTCATCATCTGATGCAGATACCTACCTATCTGTCAAGACAGTCTTTTTTAGCAACGGATGTGTATTGTTCAGTCGTCATTCTACCGAACTGGTATGACTGACGTTTTGGAGGTATGTACCTATTCATCTTTATCTTCTTATTTATTTCGTACTTGCTACATTTCAAATACATTCCAACCATCGAAGATCTCGGCATTTTCAGTTTGTTTAGTATTGGGCGAAGAGACATGGCTGTCTGAAACTAAGGATCATCCTAAGTTTTAACCCCTATCAGATTGGGAAGCTCGAGGCTCGGCATGATAGGTACGGCTCTGCGCCTTTTAAATGTGTCTTGTGGGTGTGAGCCATGAATGTCTGGGCCTAAAAGCTGCGAACTCTTTCTTATGTGGAGAATTCGACAAATTTACGAAAGGAGTCTTTCAGTTTCAGTTTCAGTTTCAGTTTCTTGCCGTCTTTCAAAGAAGTCGGAAGAATCAAGAAGCCGTCGAGTTCAAAATATCTCGTTCAAAAACTTTTGAAGAACCCATTAACTGTGTGCTTGAAGAGTTGAGACAAAGCACATCTTATTCTTGCCATTATCTGTATGTTGTCTCCTAATGTTTATTGCGGTTTCAATTCAAACTATGCCATCCGCAAGTAGCTAAGTGATGCTACAGCACTACGGTGATATATTTATTGCACATCTGAGAAGTTCAGGTAATTCGTAACAACGGGAAGTCCAACAATCATAGTCGTCATAACAAAAAACGAGAAAATATAACAAGTGATTCGGTGGCATTGCGGCGAATGATGTGAACTGCTGACTTCAGCGCGTTTATCAGCCAGTCAGCTGCAGGCGCTATCCAATGACGTCATTATTTGCTGCGGACGGTGCGCCGAACGAAAATCTTCAGATGTTGATATCCTGAGACGGAAGAAACCTGGAAACGCACCATATTTCAAATGTAGAACTTTGACTTTCCAAATGGAACAACACATCATGCTTTTTCAACAATCTTGCTTTGGAGAACGATCTGATAACAGTTCAATCTATATAGCGCTCCGTGGGTCATTCATTATTTTATTCCCATCATATCAAGCAAGATCGACTATTAGAAGTCCGTCTCCTCGTATGAGGTTCTATGTGCGGCGTGCGCTGCCCTCCTTCACCGATGCCTACGCTGGCCGCCCAGTAACAGAATGGTTTGAACTCTCACCGAGTCTGGCGCCGCGCGCCTCTCAGTGGTAGCCGTAGCCCTTGTCGTCCTCGGGCTGCGTGACGTAGTAGCCCCAGGGCGCAAACACGTCATAGCCGTACCCCTTGCTGGGCCCGCGGTACGTCTGTCAACGTTCAGAGGCACGTCAGGGCTGCACCACGCCTCAGAGGTATCCACTAAATAATACTGTTTGACGTTAGTGGCTTATGTCACATTGCAAGTACAGACCAATATAATATTTATAGTGTAAACAAATAAATGTGTGCCTGCTCAAACCGCTACGTTGATGCTACATCGACGAAATTGTTTTACGTCTTCTTTTCGCGGAGATTGTCTAACATCTATGCATACCCGGACCTTGGCTAGGGGCATTCAATAACGCACCTGAATTTTGACGCGTCCCTTGAGGGAGGGCTTGCCGTAGCCGGCACGCTCCTCTATGACGGGCTCGTAGCTGGGTCTGTACTCGGGCTCCGGCTCATACACGGGCCGGTACACGGGCGGCGCGCGCTCGTAGCTCTGCGGCCGCGGGTAGGCTTCGGCCAGCGCCAGCGCCGTCAGGCCCAGCACGGCCACCAACAGCTGCGGGCGACACAGAGGTCAGCGGGACAGGTCAGCAGCTGGGGGTGACACAGGTCAGCGGGACAGGTCAGCAGCTGCGGGTGGCACAGAGGTCAGCGGGACAGGTCAGCAGCTGGGCAGGTCGGGGGCCATCGACTGAGCAGGGGAGGGGGTCAGCAGCTGGGCAGGTCAGGGGTCGTCAGTTAGGTCAGGGGGTCAGTTGGCTGACGACACTAATCAACGGCGGGTCAGGTCTGGGAAGTTACTTATCTATACGGGAACATAGAGGTCAGGGACTATTCTGGGGAGGTTGGAAGATCAGCTATTGCAGCATGCATATTGCAGTGTCTGTTAACGTGACAGGAGCTGCATCAGCCGTGAGGTCAGGGAATGCCACCAGTGACGGTAGGTCAGCTGGGGTCGCAAAGTTTTGAAGGTAGAGAAATTATAGGCTCAGGGAGATCTACCGCCAGTTGAAGAAGGTAGTTGAGGAAACCCGGATAGCTCAACGACTCACTGAGAAAACAGTTTCTCCATTTTCGGTCTCAGAGACCAGTTTTCGGGCTAATGTCCCCTATTCAAAACAGACCACACATTTTGAGAATACTTTCTGAGCAATGCCATTGATCGCAGAAACAGATCTCAGCCAGTACCCATGTGATCGGTATCAAGCTTTTAAAATTAGTCTCACTATGAAACCAGTTTTCAGTTTCAGTAGATACTCAATTGAGTCCTTTTTCAAAAATGTTCTCAAAGTGTTTTCTGAGTGCTATTACGCAAAGTCCAGTTCAGAAGGTTTGCTCGCGAATCAGTTGCTGCTTATGTCAGTAATGTTTTTCATTAAGTGGGTTTTCTTTTCTAATTCCGTTACAAATCATAAAAATCGATTGATTTCTACAAAGAACATTAGTAGTCGTAACGCTAGGCAACGCCATGGATGTGTTATATCATCCATGACCTTACCATGACTATCTGAAATAGTAAGGAATACTTAACATACTCATATCTTGGCAATATGCGGAAATATTTTGCAGGTAAATATTAGTGGCGACCATACCGTTTTACATATCAATATTTTACACAGGTCTCAGAGTTGTCACAGCTATTCTCACCGTGAAACATATTATCGCGTAGCATTGTCTCCCAAAGAGAATGCACGTTGCGCAGAACTTACAACGGAATATGGAACATCGTTCATTACACACCTATTCATCTGTAACGTGAAATGAGCACACATAATGCATGAGGGCTTTAGAAAGAACGTTACTATCACTTTCAAAAGTTCTTGAATCATTCATAGAAAGAACGTTACTATCACTTTCAAAAGTTCTTGAATCATTCATAGACCACCCATTAGATACTTTCACTATGAATCGAACAAGCCAGTGGCTTATTATCCCTAGATAAAATATTCCGAGCATATTAATTACCCAGTTTGTCCGTCCAATGTGTTCTATGGAAAGCTATTTTTTGTTCAAGACGATTCCATCCTACCCAGCTGTCACGTCTTTCTCACCATGTATGAGATAATTGTCCCTTTCACAACATAATTCTCACGGGTGGACACCTGGTGTTTTCACCCCGACCGCGGCGGTGAACACTTGTCTACACTCTGAAAGTACATACATTTTCCATAGTAAACACATAGAACTGCTCTGCCCAGGACCGGCCCGGAGCAGCTAAAACCGAGTGTCACTCACTGCACGGGAAGCCATCTTCTCTCCTGGCTCGGCGTGTGGACGAAATTCACACTCCAGTCGTGTCTGCAGACTCTGCTGTCGGTCACCGGCGGCTCACGTTAGATACTGACGGTCTCTCCACCGTCCCCGCCTTTATAGCACCGGCCGATCGAGTTTCTCTCACGGCGCCGAGCTAGCAAACTCGTGACGTCACGGTTCATGGAGCGAGAGAACTGCATTTGCAACGGGCTCTGAATCTTTCGGTCTTTGAATTAGCGCATGGAAAAAGGAGTGAACGAACTTTTCTTGGGTCTCTTACGTCTCAAGCAGTTAATCCGCGCCCTGCTCGGCATAACTTTTCATATATTTCTTACGCAAATTGCGAAAATGTAAGGTCTTGCAACGTCAGGTCACCAGGTCCCGTGAAGACCTAGACTCAAAAAGGCTATAAAACTCGCAAAGCTATGTACACCGGCTGAATGATCGCTTTGAAACCCTCAGCAATTAACCCGGCAGTTGCTGGGGTATTTCGCCACCCACCGTTTGCTGGGGGGGGGGGGGCGTTAAACGCCCCCAGCCGATAACTCGAGAACCAATAGGCGCAGCGAAACGAACGAGGCGGCAAACGAAAGAACGCGACGAGACGCTTCCGATGAGTACTTTAAAGTTGAATTTTGAGGTCACAGGTCAGGTCAAGGTCAGGTCAAACACCTGAAATCGGGCTTTCAGTAGCATGGACTTCAGGACTTCGCAATGGGCGCCTCTCGTCATAAACTCTGTCAAAACGGTGCACAATCCATCATATAAGGCCTACAAGAGTGTCAGCTCCATGTAGGGGTCAGTCAAGCATAGGTCAGGGTCAAGGTCAGGTCAACCGGGCAGGCACATATCCCCGAAAATCAAAACTGATATTCGCAGCCTGTGACACATGTTTTATGGGTAATTTGGGGCGTAGAACACGATGGTGACATTCATTTTACCATATGTGTACGTGTTTGGCTAAAAAAGTTCAATTTAAGAAATACATGTATCATGGTCGTGAAGTGGTCACGAGAAATTGCCAAGATTCAGTTCAAGATTTTGGAAAATGCGGAACGATAATCAACAATCGAAGATAGCCATGTGATTGCTCATGGTATTGGCAGTCTAATGGCGTTTACGGCATGTCTGTATGTCTATTCTGTGATTTTATATGATTTTTTTGAACATATGCCGTTTTTGGTCGAAAACTCAGAAATCATGACGTCACTAAAACCTCGATATCTCAAAAATTTTCCGACCGATTTTTTTGAAACTTTGTCACAATAAACTTCAATCAATTCCCTACAGGTACGCAAAATTTGGCGCGCCTGCGGCGCGCCGTTTTTATGCTATGGCCCGGCAAAAAAAGTGGGGGCGTTTAACGCCCCCCCCCCAGCAACTCGCGGGTTAATAATTTTACTAGTGTGTATATTTGTACTTTATTTCGTTTTTTAATGTGCCCTAGAGTCAGGTCAATTTGGCAAGACATATAGGTATAGCTATAAATTAAATTGGACAGAGTCTTTATAACCACCCATTTTCAGCACTCCAAACGTCGGGTGGCAGATAAACATTAAAGAGACATCGAACAGTTGTACGCGTGACCCCTTATATGTATACCCCCTGATGTCAACTCACATCACAAAATATTTACAGCAGTCGTTCGATAATAACTTTTGATGAGACATACTAGAGCGCTAGAGCGATGAGAGCCCTCAGACA